GCCTTTTAATGCAGACACTAGCAAACCTGGAATAACAAATGACTCTCATTCTGTGGCTCCTGGGCAGCTCTGACCCAGAAAAACTACCCCCTTTTAGAGTCAGGGCCTGAAGCCTGGAAAAGAAGGTGCCCAGTTCAGGAGGGATGATGAGTGGGTGGACGATGCGCCCCTGAGGAGGACCCCGTTCAGGAAACAGGTGCCACAGGGCGGGTCACAAGTGCCCACGTGCAGCGTTGACCTCTTCTTACTCGGGAATTTTTATCTAAACTGCAAGATGGCAGAGAGGCTGCCCAGAGCCAGCAGAGTCCATTTGCAGGAGAGGCAGCTCCCATCTCGGGATGGAGGCTCCAGGGGGCCATCCAGACGCTGCCCCTTGAGCCTGCTTCCCAGGGACCAGGGGCTGAGTCCAGCTTCCCCCAGGGCCTGCGAGCAGACCACCCCCTCCTCCGCGCAGAAGCCCGGAGCCTAGCCCATCCATCACAGCCAGGTTCTGCAACCAGCACTGTTCTAAAGGCCACATCCACTGCTGGGGCACATGGGGTGAGGACCGCAGGTCTGAGGGGGGCCGTCTCCAGCAAAGGGAGACCAGCCTCCTGATGGGGTCACACAGTGCCCCTGGCTTGCTGAGAAAGGGGGCTCTTCTCTCCGCACATCTCCCACTGGATGGAGCCCCAGAGGGACAGGCCCTGCGCAGCACTGGCTGCAGGCTCCTCTGAAAGGATCCAGCCAGCAGCCTGTCTCCAGAGCGCCCACAAAGTCTGGGCTGCCCAGGGGCCACAGGGCGGGGGCCGCCTCCCCCGAGCCTGACGTGCACTCTGCGTCAGGGCCGCACAGTGGGCGTGGGGGAGCAGCACATATCCCCCAGCATGCGTCCTCGTCTCCCGGCAGGAAACAGAGGCCCGAAAGCAAGAGGCACTTGTCTGAGGCCACGTGGCATCTGGGTCCCAGCAGGTCTGGGAAGCAGGCCTCTGTTCCCCTGTCTATTCTGTTTTCCCGGGCGGAAAGGAGAGAGGGCTTTGCAGAGGCAATCACTCTGCTTGGACTGTCGCGGCACACCCTGACGGGCAGCATAAACACCGGAAGTGCCGTTTTGTGGACCCGGAGGCCAGCTGTCCAAGACCATGGTGCCGCCAGGTTGGCGTCTGGGTGGGTTCGCTCTGGCTGGCGGACGGCTGACCTCCATGCTGTGCCCGTGTGGAGGGGAGTGCTCCAGTGCCCCTTCCCCTTCTTACAGGGGCACTGGGCCTACTGGGTCAGGGCACCCCATGAACTCCTTCAGCCTGATTTCTCCCTGAAGGCTGCGTCTCTGAATGCAGTCACCCTGGGGGTTAGGACGTCATCTTGTGGCTCTGGGGACATCCAGTGCATGGCAGTCAGATGGAACTAGTTCATGAAAAGCTCCTGGGCATCCGGCATGCCACGGGGCTGGGTGGGGGCAGGAGCGGAGGCCAGGCTCCCCCAGGAGCCTCTGGTCCAGCTGCTGACAGCCCCTGCGCCTGCCACCCCTCAGCTCGCCCCCCAGACATCTGCAGTGAGGCCACGTCTGCCCGTCCCCAGAGGGCACCAGGCACGGAGGAGGCCCCTGATTTGCCCGAGTTCACTGCTGCACCAAGGGGAGGGGTCTGATTTGCCCCGGGACTTCCTGACCCCAATCCGGAGCTCCTCCTCCCAGCTCACCGCCTCCCCACAGCATCCCCACTGCGATGGGGGGTGGACTCTCCGGATCCGCCGGCCAGAGGCCCCTGGCCGCCCACAGTGGCAGCTCCGGGGCCGACACTTGAGCCCTGGACTCAGTTGTCCTTTATCCACTAAGTAATCCCAGCGGAGGCCAGAAAGAAGCAGAACCTCACCTTGGGCCGGGGCCAGGCCACCGGGAGATGAAAGGTCATGCTAGGATGGCCGCCCAGCCACCGGCAGCTTCTGAATGAAATCAGATGTGGAAAGACTCTGGACGTCCTGGCTGGCACTCGGCCACCACCACCCCGAGGGAGGTCCTTGTTGAGAAACGCACGTGGGGAGAGACAGACCACCTGGTTCAGGCCCTCAGCTGCCCTTCCCCATGCCCCAGCGCCTGCTCCTGGCTGCAAAATGGAATCTCTCAGGAGGTGGATGAGTTCATCCCTGGAGGAGGCACACACAACCGACGCTCAATAAATGCAGCTCTCAGCTCGGTGTCTCCAAGGCCTCTGGGTTCTGGTGCTCAGAGACTCTGAGACCCCATGGGAAAGAACCCTCACCCCACTCCCCGCTGGACAAAGCCCCCAAAACGGAGGCTTTTGAGTGGGGCTTTCCTGTCTTTGTGCTCCTAGAAATCTCCTAGTGAGTGTGAGACCAGGAGGGGAGCCAGGACAGTTGTGGGTCTCTGGCCACGACTGCTGGGAAAGCCCTCCCGTAGGGACCTCCCACAGCCACTAAGGCACATCCCACAGGGACTCCCGGGGCAGAGGGATCTGCTGATCCCATGGCGTTTCTGACTGCTATTTTCCCCACAATTTAAAGCCCTGGAATGTTAGCTCCATGAAGGCAGGGCTATGTCCTATCTTGGCTGCGTTGCCTCACCTAGGGCCCTGCCTAACCCTGGGAAGGTTATGGTAGCTATTGGATGGGTGGGTGGGTGGGTGGATGGGTGGGTGAATGGGTGAGTGGATGGATGGGTGGATGGGTGGATGGGTGGATAGATGGATGATGGATGGGGGATGGATGGATGGGTGGGTGGATGGTTGATAGATGGATGATGGGTGGATAGATGGATTATGGATGGTGGATAGATAGATGATGGATGGTGGATAGATGGATGATGGATGGATGGATAGGTGGGTGGATAGATAGATGGATGGTGGATGGATGGATGGGTGGGTGAGTGGATGGATGGGTGGATAGATGGATGATGAGTGGTGGATGGATGGATGGGTGGGTGGATGGGTGGGTGGATGGATGGGTGGGTGAATGGATGGATGGGTGGATAGATGGATGATGAGTGGTGGATGGATGGATGGGTGGGTGGATGGGTGGGTAGATAGATGGATGGTGGATGAATGGGTGGATGGGTGGGTGGATAGATGGATGATGAGTGGTGGACGGATGGATGGGTGGGTGGATGGTGGATAGACAGATGGATGGTGAATGGATGATGGGTGGATGAGTGAATGGATGGATGGATGGGTGGGTGGATAGATGGATGAGTGGTGGATGGATGGATGGGTGGGTGGATGGTGGATAGATAGATGGATGGTGGGTGGATGATGGGTGAATGAGTGAATAGATGGATGGGTGGGTGGGTGGGTGGATAGATGGATGATGAGTGGCGGATGGATGGATGGATGGGTGGATGGATGGGTGGGTGGGTGGGTGGTGGATAGATAGATGATGGATGGTGGATAGATGGATGATGGATGGATGGATGGGTGGATGGGTGGGTGGGTAGATGGATGGATGGATGGATGATGGGTTGATGAGTGGATGGACACATGATAGAGGCATAGAGGTGAAGAGCTCGGCAGCCAACAATAAAAAAGGAGGGCCCACTGATGAGCTGAGTTAAGGAAGCCAAACAAACAGAGGTTATATACGTTGTGACTTCATTTACATAAAACCATAAGAAACGCCAGCCAACAAACCCGAAGTGGCAGGAAGTGAAGTTGGGGTGCCGGGGAGGTGCTGGGGGAAGGTCACCAAGGGCACAAGCAAGCTGCAGAGTGACAGGCGCGTTCCCAACCCTGATTTTAGTGCTGGGCGTCCCGTAGTGGTGGTGTGTACTTAAGTCAGGATTCACCAAAGTATGCATTCCAAATACGTGGACTCAGATATTTGAGTAATGTCAATTTTACCTCAATAATGCTGTTTTTAAAAAGAAAGAAAATATGGTATCAGGATGGTAGGATACTCAAAAGAAAAGATTAAATTGGATTCTTTCCTTGTACTTGATACCAGAAGCAAACTGAAATTGTTCGGAGACATAAAGTCAAGCAAGGTGAAGCCGTCACGCAGGGGCCCATCCCACTGGTAGCTCGGTTCTCGGCCCAGCAGTGCTCTGGTCCCAGAGACGTGCTTGTCTGACCCCCAGGTCAAGTTCAGCCTCCAGAGGGCTCAGGTGGCCGGACCCTCTGTGCTGTCCTTGCTATGTCCTGTGATTCTGTCACTGCTTCAAACGAAAAATCTTTTGAATAAGCAAACAATCTAAAAGGCCTGCATGAAAATATGATGGGTTTTCTATACTTTTTTTGCTTAAAAAGAACTTTTGCTTTGCAGAGAAATTAGAAATTAGATAAATGACAGAGTGAGAAAATAGCTTCAAACTATATCGTGGGCCAAAGGTTACTAGCACTGATTTTTTAGATAGCTTTCACAAATAAAGAAAAAGTCTAACTCTATTGAAAAATGGGCTAAAGAAATGAAGAGACAACACAAAAGGACATCATATGAAAATATGCTCAAAAATAGCAGGTAGGAAAACTTTAAACTAAAGTTGTTTTGTCGTTAGAACGTGAATATTAGAGAAAAATGAATTAGGAGTCAACTGGAAAGCTTTCAAGGATGGGTCAGTCAGCCCAGCAAGTGAATCTACATTTCAACTGTAAACTTCACGGAATCTAAATACAGAGGAGGTATTTCCAGTGAAAATGCAGGATGCAATTTCAGGTGTGCCGTCAGTGTAAAATACACCCCAGATGCTGCATTAAAAGGGAAACAGCTCATGAATCAGCTGTTTGTCCACCCCTTGTTGACATGGTGGCACCGTGCTGACCCGCCGCAACCGGTGATCTGGGGCCCAGGCCCAATCGGCCTGGACAGACTTGTCCCCCAAGCTTGCGGCTGCGACCGCCCTCCCTCAGACTCTTCTTCCGGGTTTCAGCGCAGGGCCGGGCCCCGACTGCCCCGTCTTCCCTCCTCCCCGTCACCATATTCCTTGGTCTGTGTCCACTGCTGGGTTTTGGTCCCTGCGGCCAGAGTCCTCCGGCCCCGGCAGGGGTGGGGTGCACCTGCTGTGTGCCCTCCCGCAGGGCCCTGTGGGGAGCCAGCCCCGGCCACGCGGCCTCCTGCCGAGTGTCAGCAGGAACCGCGACTTCCTCCGACCCCCCCAGGAGCCGCCAGTGCTCGCCGAGTGCCAGCTGCCAGCCCGCCCAGGCCGTGGGCAAACCGCATGTGAACAGGGCTTTTCTGGGCCGCGACCCCGAAGGGGCAGAACAGAATTTCAAAGCGAGCTGAGAGGAGGCCTCACCCCGCGCCCCTCCTGGGAAGCCACCCCAGGCGCCTGGATGGATGAGGCAGCAAACGCGTGCGTGGGTGAGCCAGGCTGTGGTTCTGACCTCGGGGGCCCTGCCTGCCGGCGCTGCTTGGGGGCCCCCCGGGGTGGGGTACCCCTGCCCATTCAAGAGAGCACTGGGCACTGGCCCAGAGGCCCCGGGAGGGCCTCTGCTTTCCCTGTCGCCCGAGTCTGCCGGCCCCAGCCCCCAGCTGGGCGGAAGCTGGGGACGCCCCGGGGACCCTCTGCCCCCCTCAGCCCCAGCTGGGCTGCGCTGCTACAGGGATGAGCAGGGCCCTGCCCCCAGGGAGACGCTGGGGTCTCAGCGCTGCGGCGGCACGGGGACCACCTCACTCAGAGTGTGGAGCAGTCAGAGCCTGGGCACCTGGGCTCTGGGGCCGGGACGACCTGCTAACATGGGGGCGTCGCTTAGCCCCCTCCCTTCCGGGCCGAAGGACAGGCCAGCCGCCCTGGGAAAGACAAAGACATTTAGTCACTTCCCTGAAGGCTCACATCCAGCGGCCCCGGCCTAAATAAACAAACAGACATCTTGCCCAGCGTGGTGACATTTCCAGACGCGCACTGTGCCCCACGCAGCCAGGGGTCCTCTTGGGAGGGGAGCACCGAGCCCGCCCGCAGGTGACCGTCCTGGGGTCACCCGGCAGGGCACCCGGGGTCCCACCCTCAACCTCACCCCGCCGCACCCCGCAGAGCCCCTATAATTTGGAGTGACATCACCCCCGTCTTAGCTGAGTCCGATGAAAAGTCCCGTTCACAGGAGAAGGGTAAAGTTTGTGGTGATCCCAAAATAGCCCCGAAGAGCTGCCTGCCACCCCAGGAATGCCCGGAAACCACGCCTGGCTGAGGACAGAGGTCACCCAGCTCCCAGGCCTTTGAAGCTCGAGGGGACTTGAAGAAGCTTCCAGAAGCACAGCAGGGTCACGGCTCCTCCCTTGCCCGGTCCACGGGTGCCACAGAGAAGCATCTGCTTGGGGGTGAAGGAAGGAGGAGCCCAGGAGCTGGGAGGGCGAGGATCAGTCCTCCAGGGACTCGGGGCTCCAGCCCCACCAGCCTGCAGCCCCCGGCCCCTGGAATGCGAGCGGCTGAATGCCAGTCGTGGGGGGCAGCCCCAGGACAGTTGCCAGTCGTCACGCTGGAGCCACTGGGTGACCCCTGAGCTGAGCACAGGATCCCCTAGGGGAGGGCCGGGCGGCCGCCCACTCAGCCAGAGCGAAGTGAGGCCCTCAGGGCGTGGCCGGTGCCAGAGGGCCAGCAGGAGGGCGCAGGCGGACCCAGCTCTCGCCCACGTGGCCACGGGCAGGCCACTCATGACTTCCTGCCTCAGTTTCTGCACCTGTGAAAGGGGGCTCATTCTGAAACGCTGCCAGGAGGTCTGTGAGGCCAGGATCACGTCCTGAGACCATGGTCAGAGCTGCCGGCCCCCCGCCCACAGCCCAGCCACTCCCTTTTCCTGCCACGGACAGGGCCGGCCCCCTGCTGACCCCAGGGGACACGCACAGGCAACACTGCCTTCAGGAGGGAGGCCCCAGGTCTCTGTGGACGTGGGGACAGGGAGGGGCCCTGGGCACTGCCCTCTCTCCACGGGCTGGCAGCTGCTACCCATTTCCTTTCCAAGCGGGCTTCTGCTGAGGCTTCAGAACATTCCAGAGAGGGGGCGTGGGCCCGGCCCGCTGTCCCCGGGGCAGCTGCATTTGGGCCCAGGGTCTCAGGAAAGGCGGTCTCAGCCAGCCCAGGGGGTCACAGGGCAACCCCTCTCCGTGACACGCCAGGCAGGTGTGCAGGGGCGGGAGGAAGTGCCCGAGGCAGCCGCTCCCCCAGAGGGGGCCCCGGGAGGCAGGTCCCCCCACATCCACCACGGGGTACCAGGCAACAGGCCCTGCAGGGTCTCACGCCCGCTGAATGGCCGTGGGCTCTCGGGGGCACCGTGTCCTCCTGGAGGACGGGCAGGGCCTGGGTCCACGTCCGGGCTGCTCTGAGGTCACAGCCGCCGCCCAGCCTGTGTCCCTGTCCCTCCATCACGTCCAGCAGAGCTGTGCAGAGAGACCACAGACCACAGACAGTGCCCGCTGTCGAGGAGGGCCCGCTTTGGTTCCAGCAAACCTGTGTGTGTCATGTCCAGAGACAGCGTCTATTTATTGAGTGCCTACTGTATACTGCTGCATGTCCTGATCCATCAACGCTCCCATCAGACCCTGGAGATAAAGAGACTGCAGAGAATCAGTGTTGTTCCCAAGGTCATGTGACGGGTGAGGGAAGGCCAGCACCTGAGTCTTAATCCCCACGTCAGACCCCAGTGGTTAAGTGAAAGTCGCTCAGTTGCGTCTGACTCTTGGCGACCCCACAGACTATAGAGTCCATGGGATTTTCCAGGCCGGAATACTGGAGTGCGTAGTCTTTCTCTTCTCCAAGGGACGTTCCCAACCCAGGGATTGAACCTGGGTCTCCTGCTTTGTAGGCGGATTCTTTACCAGCTGAGCCACCAGGGAAGCCCCCGGTGGTTTAAGTGACATGTTAACTTTAGGGTCCATGCTGTTTCTCTGCTGAGCTGGCTTTGGAGGCCATGACCCAGGCCCAAGCGGTGTCTTGGTTTCCACCTTCCCGGCAGGCGTGTCTCACGGCTGCTCCCTGGAGTGAGGCGAGATCGTCCCGCAACTCCGGCCCCAGAGGCGAGCCGTCCTCCGGCTACTGTGCGAAGTGGAAAGTGGGGAGACCGCGTGTCCCCTCCCCGAGTGCACCCCGCCCCAGCAGCGGGGCGCCCACCCTCGTCCACCGGGTGAGCGGCCCTGAACGTCGCCCCCTGCCCCCTCTCCTGAGCCCCTGAAGGCAGACCCTGGGCCAGGGGGCCCCACCAGCAGTGGGCAAGCGGGTCTGAGTCAGGTCGGGGAGCCTGGCTCTGCGTCACCCACAGACCCTCGGGTCTGAGCTGACCGCTCAGCCACATGGACTCCCAGGGACACAGCAGGGACCCCTAGCCCTGGGGGGTGGACCAGGAGCTACTACGGCTTCCATCCACCCGGACCACAGCCAACCTCTCCCGACAGCTTCCAGGCCATGGGGCCATGCCTCAGAGAGGTGTTGGAGGGGTGCCCGGGGTCTTGGGGTGCCCAGCACCCTGCCCGCTGGGGCCACAGCAGGAGACCCAGGGCAGCCCTTCCCCCCAGCCCCTGGCCAAGGCCTCTGTCGGTCACAGACTCAGCTCTGGGGCCCCAGCGCCCCCTGCAATGGGAATTCAGGAGTGGGGTTCCCCAGAGCGGCGTTGGTCCTGCTGTGAGATCCGGGACACGCCCCGAGCAGGTCCTAACCCCTGGGCCACTGCTGCCTACGATCAGCCACCCCAGCGCTGGCTTCCGTACCCACAAAGCAGGAGTAACCTTCCCACTAATGCGGAGCAAAGCTGGCACCATCTCTGGAAAGTGCCTTCTGGGCAGGGAGCCCCCGGCCTGGGACCCACTGGGCTCCAGGACCAGGGGACAGAGCAGAGGGAGCCCCTCCTGAGCCTCAGGCTCCCCAGCTCTGGGAGGGTGGGGGGCGCATGAGAAAGCGCCAAGACTCCTCCTGGCGTTCCAGCCCAGACCCCCACCCCCGGCCAGCGTGGTAGACCGATGGAGCTGGTGTCCTGGCGCGGGGGGCAGCCCGGCCCTGGCGGTTCCCCTTCTTCTGGCTCCCAGGACGCGGCGCTCCGCCCTGCACCCTGTGCCGCTGGCCGCCTGCCAGCTCCCCGGCATGCCTGTGGGTGACTCCTGGAGCCCCGCCAGATACTGTCACACATCCCGGGGGCCTCGGTATGACTGGGTAGGGGGTGGGGCCCGGAGTCCCTCGGAATCCTGCACAAGATGTCAGGCCTGGGGACGCTGAGAGGGAGGGGGCTGTGCAGACACACCCCTGCAGAAGAGTGGGTAGGGGTCCCCGCTGCAGAGACCCAGGGCAGCAAGAGCTCCGTCACAGGCCCGGCTCCCGGGTGGAGCGCAGTCAGGGTCACGGGCCCGGGGGAAGAGGCACAGAACAGCACCTGCCCTGCGGGGGACACAGGGGTCCCGGCCTCCGTGCGGGAGGGGCCGCACAAGTCTCCCGCCCACTGGGGATGGGGGCGGGGGCACGGCTGAGAGGGCCCCCTGGGTGCGGGCCACCCCGCGGCAGGCGTCCCCAGCCCTGCTTCCCCCTGCAGGCCGTCGGGGGCTCCCAGTTACAAGTGGCGACAACTGCGCTCTATTTATATCAGCGGCCCCACTATCCACAGGCCGGCCAGGCTGCCACTACGATCAGCTTACATCTAAAATAAATGTTTCCTTAGCTCGAACCTGATCTCCGGTGGCAAATTTCGGGAAGCGGCGAGACAGGTCAAGACTCTGAGCAGGGCCTGCCTGCCGGGACCCAGGGTGGAGGCTGGGCCAGAGTGTCCCCAGGCAGGCACCTTGGCGATCCCGAGAGGCCGCGCTCCCCTACCCGCCCCTCACGGGGTCCTCACGGGGCTCTGGGGGCCCCTCAAGACGGGCGAGGGAAGGGACACACGTGGCCACATGGGGCCCTGAGCCCAGGGGTCAGAGGTCAGACCTAACGCCACAAGCAGTTCTTTCCAGAGACGCTGCCAACTCCTGGTTTGAGGCAGGGGCTCTAAGTAGGAGGGGTCTCCAGAATTTGGGGGGCAGGAAGGGTGGCCCCCTCACCTGTGGCGGCTGCGGCCCGCCCACCTGTCCCTCTGGGGCTTGGGACCCCCTCTCCGGGACCCACTACCTCCCCCGGAAGGCAGGCGAGAGCGGGGCTGGGGAGCCAGGGCAGCGGGGTGTGTGGCCCCCTCCCCAGGACACCCGGAGCCTCGGGCCCCCTGTGGGCAAGGACCAGCGCTGGGCAGGGAGGGCTCAGCGCCGGCCTGGACTCCCTGCAGAACCCCAGAGGCTCCCGGGGGAAAGCCTCCTAAGATGACTGCCTCTCCACCACCCCAACCCTTCTAGGGAGAAAGCCTTCCTTGAGGCCAGCTGAGAGCCCCCAGGCCACCCTGGGAGAAAGGGGTAGAGGCATCAGCCCCACCCTGTGGGGGGGCCTGGTACACGGGGCTGGAGTCGGGAGACAGAGCGGACCTCCCAGGGACCAAGAGCCCCCGCTGATGACCCCGAGGGGCCAGGTCAGCTCAAGCCCAGACGTCAGAGCTTCTGCGAGAGAGGTGGGGGCCGCCCTGAATCCCACCCCTGCTGCCTGCTTCCCTGCCCCTGGGAACCTGAGTCGCTTCCACAACAGAATTACACCCAACTCTGGGGGCAAACCAAACCCCCAGCCCACACGGCCCCCTTGCCCATGACACCCTGAGCAGTCCCCCAGGAGCAAAGGCAGGGAGTAGGGGAGGCTGCTGGGCTGGGCTTGTCCTGCTTTGAGGGAAGGAACGACTCTCTCAAGGCAGGAATGATAATTACCTCCCCCGCTGGGGCAAAGGAATCCCGAGGGGGGCCCTCCCAGCCTGGAAATCGCAATTGCTGGGGGCCCTCCTCCTTCTGGGAGGGGTGAGTGCCTGCCAAGTGTCAGCTGTGGCTCAGAGCTTCACAGGGAGCCCCCACCCCAGGTGGAGTGCTGTTCTGCCCACTTGACGGAGGAGGAAACCGAGGTTCCAGGAGCTGGGATAGAGCCTGTGGCTGGTGGAGCAGACACAGGCCTGCTGACTTTGGAGGCCATGTCTGACCACGCAAGGCTGCACAGATGCAGGGGACTGACGGTGAGAGGGGGCCGCGGTGGTTGAAGAGGCTCCCGTGGCCCAGGAAAGAGAAGACCCTCTCTGACCCCAAGGCCGTCTGCTCAGGCAGCTGCAACCACAGGTGCTCACCTCCAAGCCCAGCACACACTGGGGCCAACTGTATGTTCCACTCAGCACTGTGGCATGTGGCAGCCACAGTCCTGTGGAGGATACAGAGGAGCATGTGGGCGGCCCTGGTGCAGGGGAGGGGGTCTGTCCTGTGAAAATGCAGGAGGGAAATGGAGGGGCATGGCATCCGTGGGCTGGGGGACTTCAGGGAAAGCTCGATCCAGGAACTTGGCCAGAGCTGGGTCCTAAAGGCTGAACAGTCTTCCCCTGGGGAGGAGCCTTCCAGGTGCAGAAGAGCGTGTGACACATGCCAGCATCTGGGGCCAAAGAGGTTGGTGGGGCTGACGGAGCAGAGAGGAAGCGGTCCCCACCACCCCGCGGCCCCGTCTGCGCCCAGCCCTCCTCCTGGGCAGCCTCTGGCTGGGAACCGGAGGTGGCGCGGGGCGGGCACCCACCCCGAGGCGGCCCGAGCTCCTCCGGCCAAGACACCAGGCACTTCCTGACTCTGGGCCCAGATCTCCGGGCGGGGGCGGGCACCAAGGGGGCGGCATTCCAGCTGGCATTCCAACTCCTCCTCCACAATTTGTCCATTTCCTGCCCTGGCTGCAAATTTCAACCATTTCCTTCTCGAGCCACCTCCGGCCTCTGCCGCTGCCTGGCCCTGAGCTGACCCTGGCAGGGGACAGGACGGTCCTTGTCCTGCCAGCTCCAAGCTGGGAACCAGGCTGGCCCTCAGTCAAGCATCATGCCAGCAGGCCCTGGGATGCTTGGAGGGGCTCTGAGCCAGAGTTGGGGCGCGCCTGGGGTCCAAGCCTGGCTGTGTGAGCCCCAACCATGTGCCTATCCTCAGGTGCACACACACGGCACCTACTGTGTGCCTGAGCAGAGCTGGTGCTGGAGACTCTCTAAGACAGGAGGCAGCAGCCACAGGCAGGATGTGGGCAGCGCCACGTGCCAGGGTGAGCTTCTCCCTGTTCACCTTGAAAGCACAGCCTCTCATCCCAGGGAGGAGGGGCTCCGTGGAGAGGGGCCCACAGGGTGCAGGGGGCCCAGGATTCAGCACGTGGATGCCGGTGCTCCTCACCTCAGCAGACAGACTTCAGCAGATCCTGGCAGAGGCTGGCAGGGCCCCTCGCAGAAAGTTGCAGAGCGGATGGGCAATCGTTTCTTTGCAGGCACCCTCCCCAAGTTTAGAGAAAGTGCCCCTAGGAGACCAGTGTCCCCAAGATGAGGAGGGGGCCTCCCAGCCCCCCAGGCAGGGAGCGGCCCGCCCTGGACTCAGGCTCTGCTGGAGGCCCCGTGCAAGTGTCTTCCAGGACAGCCTGGCCCCAGGCCCCTCCCAAGGTCCCCGGCTGTGTGAGCCACAGGCCTGCAGCTGACAGCACCCTGAGGCGTCGGGCTTGTCTGGGAGTCTGAGGGCCTCCCTCATAAGTGATTTTTGCCAAATGTCTTCTCAGCATAAACTAGCCAGAGTGGCAACTGCTGCTTGAAGCTAAGCGTTGGTGTGGGTACTGGATGGGAAGCTGGGGGACAGGCCCCCAGCTCCAGGGCCCACGGCCACTCAGTCAGTGGTGGCAGCTGCCTGCGGTTCCCACCCAACCCAGAGACCCTTCCCGCCAGCTCCCAGCTGCCAGCCCCCAGGTGGGACCTGCCTGGAATGACCCTTTCCGGACAGGCTGGTCAGTGTCTGTCCCAGAAGCAGGCACCCAGCTGAGGGCTTGGGGTAGGGGTGAAAGACCCCCGCTCCCCGCACACAGCACAGCGAGGCCTGGAACTTCCTGGAGGTGGGGAGCTTGGGGACCATGAGGAACCCAAGGGCAGCCTCCTCTCCCAGTTCAGGCCGGTGTCCTGAACCAGAACTCTTTCTCCCAAGGACCGCATCCAGAGGACCCTGGGGACAGCCAGCCGTGCCCCGTCTGGGGACCACGCCATCGGGTCGGCGCAGGGGGACGCACACTTCTCCTGGGGTTGGCCGTACCCTGGAGTTTGCACAACGGGCCCAGAGGAGACACTGTGTCTTTAAAACAGGGATCTGGGGGATGTGAACCCCCGACCGCCACAGTGACCGCATCCAGGGGCCGACCTTGCCCAAACTGAGCGCTGTCCTGAGGGTGTGAGGAGGGTTTGCTGAGATGCCCAGAGAGGATGGGAGAGCCCAGCCCGCCCACCGGCTCTGTGACGGGCGGGCCGCGCAGGGCAGAGGCTTCAGGAAGGGCCAGGGGTGGACCCACTGCAGGGAGCTGGGAGGACACAGGACAACGTGGGCCCAGGGCACAGAAGGGCGCACGCATCCGGCCGTGGGCTGGGCACCCTCCAGCACCTGTGAGCCCCGACAAGTGAGCAAAGGGGAGACTTTCTGAGCTGGGGCCCTGGAGGCGCAGCCAGGATGCCCTGCCACACACTCTGTTCCTGACGTGACGGCAGGATCCTGCAGTCTGCAATGAGTCTTTCCAGTTGGGGGTTTTAATAAGTCATGGGAGGCTCCTCCCCACACCACCCCAACCCCCATCCCAGAATCCTGAGAAAATCCCCTTCCATGGTTTCCCACAAAGCAGGTGCAGAGCAGCCGGAGCAGGGCCGGGGGAGGGTCTTGGGGGGGGGCGGGCAGCAGGATGCCCTCATGGCTGCGGTGCCAGCAGGCGGGCAGGTGGCACCCGCGCCCCCAGGAGCCCAGCTCCAGGGAGGGCATCGCCCCCAGGGGCCCCCACTCCAGAGAGGCCAAACCCAGCCCAAACCCAGTGATCTGAGCCCCATCCACTCACACGCGATGTGGACATTAAGGCAAATGCTTCAGGCAAATACATAAAATCCACTTCTGTGTTCTTGGGCCAAATTTGACCCCAAGGCCAGAGCAAACCACGCTAATTTGACGGACCTCCTCTGAACCCACCAGCTTCCTTAGTGGTTCAGATGGTAAAGAATCTGCCTGCAATGCAGGAGACCTGGGTTCAATCCCTGGGTCGGGAAGATCCCCTGGAGGAGGGCATGGCAACCCACTCCTGTACTCTTGCCTGGAGAACCCCATGGACAGAGGAGCCTGGTGGACTACAGTCCATGGCGTCGCAGAGGGTCGGACACGACTGAGCGACTCACACTTTCACTTCCTCCCAACCCAGACAGCCTGCCCTGCCACCCACCTGCCCTGGGAAACTTCAGTTTGGGGGTGCTGGTTGGCTGGGGGTGGGGAGACCAGGAAACGCTCTCCTGAGAAACCACCAGCCCCTAGCGCTGCGCCTGTCCAGGCCCGGCCTCGGAGGGGGTGTCCCGAGTGGCTCCTGAGACCCTGGTAGGCGGGATGCACTGTCCACCGTGGTCTCTGTGATGGGCACCCCCAACACGCACACACACACTCACGCACTGGCTGCTGTGACTGGCAGCTGGTTTAACTCAAGGTGGACAGGACACAGGACACATGGAATACGTGTAAGGTGGCAGACTGGCCACACCCCGGCCCGCCCAGCCGTCACACAGACCCGGAGGGCCCTGTGGCAGGTGAGGGCAGGGGTTTCCTGGGGTTTGCTGAGGCCCCGCAGGCAAGAGCGCCCCCGGGGCGGCAGTGTCTGCGCCCTGCCTATTCTGAGGGTCCCCAGGGGCACGACCAGGGGGGCCCGCTCTTTCCAGAGCCCTGAATCCGCTGACCATGCTGTGCCATGGGCCCAGCCCCCCGCTCCCCCTGCACACTCACAGCAGGAGAGGGCTGGAGGCCCCAGTCAGTGCTCGGGCGCCGGCCTACCCAGGGCCGCTGGGCTGCGGGCCGGTAGCAAACAGGACCCGCCTCTAATAAAACAAATCATCTGAGGCTGGGAAGCCGCAAGAGGAAACAGCTGTGCGCTGCTGGCTGTGAACACGTGTTTCCACGCCCATCCCTCAGCTCGCCCGCTCTGCTCCCGGAATTCTGGATGCTTGGACATTTTCTGACAGCAGAACGCTCCAGGCCATCAAGAGGGGAGTTTCGGGGGCCAAGGAACGTGGGCACACGGAAATCGGACGGGCAGCCGCCGCACAGTGGCCTCTGCGTGCCAGTCGGAGACTGTGGTCCTCGGACGACCTGACCCCAAGGGGCCCTCAGAGCAGCCAGAGGGACAGGGCTTGTGAACGAAAGTGGCAAGGATGCTCATGCCAGCTCTGACGGTCCAAGCCAGAACAAACGCAAATGCGCATCAAGGTGACAGATAAACAGATGTCGCATGAAGGAGCCGCACCTGACTGGGCCAAGGGCTGGATGTTGTCAGGACCACGTGGAGAAGGGACCCCACACAAGCAGGACTCGGGGGGTCCAGCCCACAACATTCAGGAGAGGAGTGTTGGCCTATGGCGATGGGAGTCAGAGGGAAACTGGGGGTTTCTCTCGGGTGAGGATTGGTCCCAGAGGATCGGGGCATGGGAAATGTCCCAGAGGATCGGGGTCCCAGACCCCTCACCTGGGTCTGTGAGGTGGTCCCGGGCCTGCACGCGTAAGTCAGAGCTGCGCACACAGGTCCCGAATTCCCCGTGTGCAGCTCACACCTCAGCAGAGTGCAGTCAAGGACAGAGACACGCTCGAGGGCCCACCCCACCGCACCCTGCACACAGGGCCCTCCTCCAGCTCAAACCCTGCACAGGATGGGAGGCGGATGTCGGTCTGGGAGAGGGGGTGCTTTCTGTCCGTTCTGGGGGCTGGGCTGAGGTCTCTGCAGGCCAATGGGCAAGGACCCTCATGGTGGGTCTGGCCATGGAGACACACCAGGGTCTGAGCCCAGGTCTTTCCAGCCTTGTGATACTAGAGTAAAAACTGTGAGGCCCAGCAGACTGCAGGTTCCCTGGGGTCTCACTGACACTGAAAAAAAAAGGAGTCTGGAGTATCATCACAAACTTTATCCTGTCTCCTCCTGAGTACCACCTCCATTATCAGCCCACTGCCCTTCCCCCAGGACCACTGCCACTGCTGCCACCATCACCTCTGTCACCACCACCAAGGCCATCTTCATGACCTCCAAGATCGTCACCACCACCACCACCGTTGTCATCTTCATCACCTCCAACATCACCACCAACACCACCATCGCCATCTTCATGACCTCCAACTTTGTCACCACCACCACCACCATCATCACCACCATCACCATCATCATCTTCTTGACCTCCAACATCTTCACCACTACCACCATTCCCACCTTCATCACCTCCAATATCACCACCAACACCACCATCACCATCTTCACCACCACCACCACCACCGCCACCTTCATCACTTCCAACATCACCACCAACACCTGCATTACCTCCAACATCACCACCAACACCACCTTCATCACCTCCAGCATTGTCACCACCATTGCCACCACGGTCACTGCTTTCATAACCTCCAACATCATCACCACCACCTTCTTCACCTCCAACATCACCACCAACACCTTCTCACCTCCAACATCACACCAACACCTCTACCAGCACCATAGCCTCCAGAACCACCTCCATCACCTCATCATCACCACTGATACCCTCTCTGGGCCCACTTGTTTTATTACTAAGATGTGGGTGAATGTCCTAGGATCTGGGTCCCCAGGCAAGCAGCGACCCTACATTCCAGTGTGAGTCTTCAGACTCTGACTGACAGCCCTTATACCTCTGCACTCAGTCCCACAGCCAAGACCCATCCCCAGATGATGAGATGTGTCCACCAAAAGTCTGGTGGTAGACTAAAAATCACTGAGATCCTGTTTTCAAGCCCTGTATAATCTGCATGTACCTGGATGCTCCTCAGGTTTCCTGATGAACCCAAAGATGTCACCTTTAAGGTAATCACATGACTTATGGAAAGTACCCTGGATCCCTCCAAGTCAGCAGCACAGCCTTCCCACTCCCAGGACCCTGGACTTGAGCTTACATAACCCTTGCTGGAAGTCGGAGCTGACAAACCGCCCCGCCGAAAAATGACTACCACCAATAAAACGTTTTATTGCCCAATCAGGACTGCCGGTAGAGTCTATATTTAAAGCAGTTCTGTTAACCCTGGGAAGTGAACGTTTGCTTGGCTCTGGGGCAGCTTGCAAAGCAAAGACAGTGGTTTCAGTAAAGCCCCGGGGCTTTGTAAATTCAAGAAGGAAAAGCTGGACGTCGAGTCGGCCCGGGCACTTGGGCATAGCTCTCGAGGAGGCCCTTCTCTGGATGCTCCAGGCCCTAGAGCCAGACGACGGTGGGAAGGCCGGCCCTGGGGAGCTCCAACAGGTGGAGAGAAGATGGGATTACGGCCCCCACATGATACAAGAGCCACAGAACGGTCCCCCAGCCATCCCTACCCCACGTGGCCCCTCAGCCAAGTTCAGGGCCCAGGCGGGCCCTCCGCAGGCCTGGCCCATGGGGCAGGACTCTTCTTGGATCTAAGTGGGCCCCCCAGGCCTGAGGCCAACACGGCAGCACTGGTCACACGGGGCCACTTACATTTAAATAGGTGACACTATAGACAATCAGTCCCTTGGTCACACAGGCCACATTTCAGGAGGCAGTGGAGACACACAGCTAGTGGCTGCCTTGCTGGGCCCTGTCCACGTGGGTGAGGACGTCCATCATGTTGGAAAGCTCTCATGGGCAGAGCTGGGCTTGCGGTGATAGGTCAGGACTGTGTGGGGCCAGAGCTGATGGTCCGGACGCTGCACTGGCTGGTTTCTACTGAAGGCCCTGAGGGGTCGGCCCAGGCCTCTCCCCAGCTCCTGGCAGCACCTTTGAGGTCCCCGTCACATGGAGCAGCCCCGACCTCCACTCCCATTGTCACCAGGCCCTCCCCTCCGGCCTGTGTCCACGCTTCCCTCTTCTTCGAGGGCATTGGCCGTCGGATTCTGGGCCACCACACGCCAGAGCAGCCTCGACCTAACTGACGATGTCTGCAAAGTCCTTATTTCCAAATAAGGCTGCACTCACTGGTCCCACGTGGACGTGCATCCTGGGGAGACATTCCTCAGTCCAGTACGACCCTCAGCCCACAGGCGTGCAGCTCCTTCTGCCCCAGGGCTCCCTGTGCTCTTTCAGGGATTTTCCATCTCTCTCCACCTCCAGGTCATAAGCCCCGGGTCAGCACCTGCCCTGTCACCCTGCATACCCAGAGCCTGGCACACAGTGGGGGCCCAGCCGACACTTGCCTCAATGAATGAGTGAGTGAGGGAGGACACAGGTGCCGCATGGGCCAATCCCAGGTTTCTGGAGGGCCTTGGTCACAGAGTTCACCCCAAGAAAGAAAGGTGCAGACTCGGGGAGATGGCCTGGGTCCAAGGCCTGGCTCTGCTGGGTGAGCAGGTCACCACTCCCCAACCAGAGCCCCATGTCCCCGTCTCTGCAGGCGGGAAGGGAGGCTCCATCCAGGCTGACCTGGGGGGCAGGCAAGTGGACAGGCAGGGTCACCAAGAGGGCGCTGGGCAAGGGATAGGTGTTTGAGGAGGGCTGCTGGGGGCCTCGTCCAGCAGACCCCCATGGAGCCACTCCATGGAGCGTCATGCCCAGCACGGTGGACACACTCACCACCCCTCCAGCTGGGGTCACTGGGGCTGGGAGTGGCAGGAGCGCACAGAGGTGACTGACGGCCCAGGACGTTGCCAGTGCGCAGTGCCCGGAGCAGGTGCTGGGTGCCCCCATGGCCCCCCAGGCCAGAGGGAAGGAGGAGAGGGCTGGGGGCAAATCTGTTATGGCAGCCCCCCAGGGGCTCCTGGGCAGCTTGAGTTTCTAAGGAGCATAAACTTTTTACGAGTTAAGAGCACGACTCTGATGACTGAAGACATAAAAATAGCTCTGCTTACTCAGTCCCTCCTCAGAGTTCTGTGGGAAAGCGTCCGGCGGCCGGAGGGCTGACCCCAGGGCCCTGTGCTCGCCCGGGGCTCTTGCAGCTCATGGAGGAGGCATGGGAGGCTCTCCGGGGGTGGGGTCCTGCAGCCGGAGATGGCCGGGGGTGGGGGTCCTGCACTGACCTTGGTGACAGGGAGGAGCCCCTCTGCAAGGGCACCAGCCAGCCTGGGGCTCAGGTCTGGCCATGCTTCTCTGGCCCCTCATTCGTCACTGCCTCTCCTAAAACTGCCTTTTTTTCTGCCCAAGGAGCAATCTTGTGATCTCCTCTTAATGCTAAGAAGGGAAATTTTAGTACACAAGTAACCAGTTAGGATGTTTACCTGCAAGTACAGAAGAACCAACTTGAAATGGCTTTAAAATATATCATGTCACACGACAGGAAGTTCGAGTTGGTGCACAGAGGTTGCGTGACATCTCAGGACTTGGGGCCCCTCCTCTCTGCCCTGCCATCCTCACTTGGCCTCAGTCCTCAGAACTGGCTCCCGTGGTTGTAAGATGACTGCCATAGCTCCGGATATCACACCCTTATCCACCAACTTCTAAAGACACACCCGCTTGTGGCCCGTTTTTAAAGAGCCAAGAGGATGTTCCCAGGAACCCTCAGCAGTCTTCTTTAAAGTCCTGTTGCCAAAATTATTACAGAAAGGTTGCATTTTTCTTTATGCTAAAGTGAACAATTATTCTTTCTATAATAAGAAAAAAATTAACTCATTTTTCTAAAGAAACCCTCTTTTCAGTAGAGCACAGGTTCTGGACTCCAAACTGTGGGCTTGGTCCTTCCAGGGCAACACCAGGGTGTGCCAGGAAAATCTGGGAGAAGATGGGTTCTCCCCAGGCTGCACCCAAGGACTGGTCTGCTCTCACTCTCCTGAGCCCGACACTGATGTTCTGGTCACTGGGGAGCCGGCACACCCATTCAGGGACCAGGCCCGAATGACCGTGGCTCTACCTCCCCGGACCCCTCCACAGTCCCTCGGCCCAGCGGCAGGCAGGGTCAGGAGGGCGGAGGGCCGCACAGGCCCACACAGCATCTGTCTTTCTTCTCAAGCTGCCGCAGCCAGACCAACACAAACCCTAGGTCTAAAGTCCTGCTAACTCACCGCAACCTCACACCGCTCGGCAACAGACCACCTGCACAGAGGCTGCTTCCCACAGAAGCAGTGTCCAGGGCTCCAAGGGCAGCAGGAAGGATTTTAAGCCTCACCCTGGCTCCTTCTAGGAGAAAAGCACCGACTCACTGAGGCTGGTGAGTGGCAGGACATCGGGGACCTGTGCTCGTGGGGTCTGGTCTGCACAGGGGGCCACTCTGCCCCTTGGGGAGCTGGTCTCGGGAGGGGTGGCTGCCCACCCCCCGCCAGCCAAAGCACTGCCCCAGTGCCAAGCACACCCTCCGCTTTGGTCAAACATTTTGCATGATGAGGGAAAAGACTGAAGCACCATTGTTGTTTTTATTAAAACACAAAATTAATTAATTCAGCCGTTTCTCCTGACCTCGAAATGTCGGAGGAGCAGAGTGAGTAGAGAGATGAATTATTCATCTCTTTGGAATCCATTCTCCCAAACATGTGCAAAAATAAATTGGGTTTTCCTCCTAAAATGGGGCTGTTTCACCTGTAGGGCTGTGAGTTTGAGAAATGAGACTTCACGGGCAGAGACCACACACTCCCCCACCGTGGCCCAGACAGCAGGGAAGGGTCGCCACGTGGACCGCCCCATGGTGGACACAGAGGACCCGGGGAGTCAGACCCTGGGTGTCCGGTCCTCAGCAGAGGGCAGGGGCAGGTGGGAGCGTCCAGGAGGACAAGGGTCCCGGGCCCGAGGTATAGACCTGCTCCGGGGCCTCACCCCTACCCTGCTCCCCACTTTTCTCGTCCATAAATGAGCCCGCCGACCAGATGGTGGCCTGAAGGCTCTGCACCACGTTCTGAGACTCAGGCTCAAGCGTGCCCGCTGGTTTCCTCCCGTTCCTCTGGGTCACAGTCTGGGTGCCCCCAGGACGAGCAGCCTTGGCTAGCTCTCAGAGTCATGCCCATCCTCCCAGCTGGACAGCAGCCTTGGGCTGTGGGGAGGACCAAGGTGTGCAAGAGCTTTTACAAGGTGAAGCGGGGACTTGGTCCTGCCGGTATCTTGCTGGGCTTATTCATCACTAGTACATCTTCCTTGGTGAGGCCATCAGGGATGTCTGGATGACTCGGAAAGCCTTTCCAGGGGGGCTCACTGTCCAGAGGCCAGGGGATCACACATGCTTAGACCTGGACATGGAGGGGCATGGGGCAGGTAACCCGTCAAGGTTCCCTCTCTTCAGACCTAGGAAGCGATAGTTTGGGGCCACTGTCAGCCAGAGGATGGAAAGCAGAGCCAGGGGAGGCACCACACTGCCTGGGGACCCAAATCATCTTCTGGAATTCTCTTGTTTTTCTACATCCCTTTTGAATAACCTCCTCTGGAGGGCTGGCAAGCCTTGCTGCATTAAAGCCGTGGCTCTTAGGACAGGCTCCTTTAATGAATTCATGGAGGACCCAGCCGGGACCTTCAAGTTCGTTTTCTACCACGCACAGCATGTGCCAGCTGCACTGCGACACTTGGGGAAAAGTCATAAGTAACAAGCAGTAGTGCGGGGCCAACAGCGTAAGACCAAGGACCTCGGGGGCCTCCAGAGGGCCAAGCCCAGAGCTAGGACCACCAGGGCTGGCCCAGAGGTGGGGGAGCATCAGGGTCCGGGGCCTGTGGGCACGTGACCCTCCGGGTCCTCATTCCTCGCACGTCTGCCCGCATCCCGCAAAGCCCCAGGCCCGTGCCCACCCCACCCTGCGCCTTCTCGCTCAGACTCCCGGCTGCAGGCCCGTCCCAGGCACTGTGGAGGGACGGGCCCGGGGCGGCCAGACTCCCAGCTCCTGCACGGAGGTCACGGCTTCAGCAGGACGGAGGCCACAGGCCCAGCTGAGGACTGGGAATACGGGCCCACATCAGGGCCCAGGAGCAAGCCTTGGCCTGTCGACACCGGGCGGAGCCCGAGGAGAAAGCGCTTCCTCTGCAGCCGCCCCCGTCCTCTGGTCCTCGTCCACCGGGTCCCGAGCGCCTGCCGGAGATGCGCTGCGTCCAGGTCGAGTGCCTCACACCCTGGAGGCAGCGCCCACAGGGGCCCAGCCTCCAGGGGAATCGGAAGGCCCAGTTGGGGCTGGCACTGCGGGCAGGAAGCCAGGCCCTGATCCCACTAATTAATTGCTTCAAACGACTCTGAGCGCCGGGCCTCTAGACAGTGGCGTCTCTGAAGATCGGCTTTGTCTACCTTCTGTCCTGATGTTTGGAAACCGAAGGCTCCCTCCCCTAATCTCTCCATCTCCACTCCTAGAAGGCAGCTCATTAGCAGAGTTTGATAACAGGTGGTCCGGGCTGGGGGCCGGGCCGGTGGCAGCCCCACCCCTCCTCACCCCCTGCCCCTCCTTGCCCCCCAACCCCCCGCCCCTCCTCACTCCCCAGCCCCTCCCGCGGACACCCACCCCCTCCCACCCCACCCCCGCCCCCACCAGCCTGGTCTGTCCGGGCTGAGGGGCCACCACAGGTCCTTCTGCCCCGACGTGCCTCCCACCGCCCCCCACGGCCCCCCTCACCACATGCAGCAGCCCCCCAAGCCATGGACAGAAGACACCCTGAGCGTTCCAACCCAGCCTGGCTGAGGTTCAAACTTTGACTCTGCCAATTATCGGATCTGAAGCATGCTCCAGACAGAACCCTCCTGTAAAACAGCTTGCTGGGGGCCCTGACCCCCGGGGCGGCTGTGAGGATTAAAACATAAAGCATCTCTCCCAGCGTCAGGATCCTGCAACACAGCCACTGCTTCATTTTCCCTGCAGACCCCCACTTCAGTCCACGATTGTGTGTGTGTGAGAGACAGAGAGAGAGAGCAATGCCTGACTCTTCCCCTAATGATCAGCCCCACAAAGGGAAATATCCCTGGTGCCCAGCACGACAGGCCCTGGTAGATGCTGAAAAAATATCTGTTGGATGGATGGATGGGTGGGTGGATGGATGGGTGGGTGAGTGGATACATGGGTGTGTGGGTGGGTGGGTAGTGTTTAGAAGAATAAATGGATGGGTGGGTGGGTGGATGGATGGATGGATGGATGGGTGAGTGGATACATGGGTGGACGGTGTTGAGGAGAATCAATGGATGGGCGGGTGAGGACACATGGATTGATCAATGGATTAACTGTGGCTGAGGCCCACGCTGTCTCCCTTGCTGTGGAACGCGAGCTGACCCGGGAGCCCAGGTGCGGAGCAGGGCTGCGGGGAGAGTGTCTTTGGTCTCTGGAGGGCCGACCCGCCTCTTTCAGTCCTGTGCCCACTGCTCAGGGGAGGAACACGGGGCACAGGTGTCGGCCCAGAGAGGGCTGGGAGAGTCAGGTGCCCAGCGTAGAGGCGGCCCTGCCAGCCTGATGCAGCCTTGGGTGGCCCCGGACTGACTGTGTTTGCCCAGCATAGAAGGTGAGAGCTGGCTGCTCCGTGTAATCTTCCTCGTTGACCCCAGCCAGGCCTTGCCCAGCGCCTCCCCCGAGTCCCTCTCAGACTGCCCAGTGGCCAGTGCAGACGGAGTTGCTGTCCGCTGTTCTCTGAGAAATCCATTTACTGTCTGCACTGCCTGGGAAGTTATCATCTCGAGGCTGCAGCTTCCTAAGGCGTTGCCATGGAGATGAATTTTCTGTCATAAATAAAAGTATTCTGGGGTCAGGAGATCTCAAGCATAACTAGGACAGATTTTGAGGGGGAAAATGCCAGAATTTTTTAAACACATGAGACAACGATCGGGCTGCTTTTTTCCAGAGGGTGTTTCTCAGGCTGTTATGAATTTGGACAGGAGCCCAGCCACCTCGGGAAGCAGGTCTGTCCCCCCATGGTCCCCTCCTCTCCCCATGAGTGCCGGGCCCCCAGCGACCACGTGCTGTTGGGGGAGGTCAGGGCTCCGAGATGGGGGCTTCCGGGAGGTCCTGCAGCCGTGAGAGGAGACTGCGGCGCTGCTGCTCTCTGGGCCTGGACCAGCCAGCTCGCCCTGGGGGCTCAGCGCACGCCCCACACCCCTCTAAGGAGCAGAAACATGTGACTTCCGAGGAGCCCCCGACCAGTCCCCACATGCAGCCCGTGGAGGGACATCAGCGTCAGTGAGTTCCTTTGTTCGGGGTCACTGCAGGTCAGCAGTGAGGAGGTGGGGGAGGAAGGTATGCAGGCCGAGGCCCCAGACACCACCCAGGCCAGAGCCCAGGGTTGTTTGCCAACCCCCCACTGTGCTGGGCAAACAGAGCCCTCTGTCCCCAGGGCCCTGGGCTGGGACAGCGGCCCCCTGAGGCCCTCGGCCTGGGAGGGAGCAGGGGTGAGCCCCAGGGGTCTTCCGCAAGTAGGGCAACCCCAGGACCAGATGGAGTCAGTCCGCAGTGAATTCTAGCAAACAGTTCTCAAAAGAATTCACACTGATGCTTTACAAACTCTTCCAAAAAATGTAAGAGGAAGGAACTCACTCTCACAGAATCATTTTTACTTGTTGATACCAAAACCAAAGACGTCACAAGAAAACACAGACCACTACCTTTATGTACAGATGTAAAAACTTTGACAAAATATTAGCAAAACAAATCCAACAGCACATAAAAATAGTGATTGCACCCCATGACGAGGTAGGTTCATCCCAGGAATGCAAGTGTGGTTCAACAAACAAAAACCAGTCAACATCGTGTGTGTGTGTGTGTGTGTGTGTGTGTGCGCACCCGCGCATATGTATGTGTATATATGTACACACACACTATATACATGCATTATGTTCACGGGATAAAAAAACACATATGATCTTCTCAATTACTGTGGAAAAAGCATCACCCAGAAAAAGATCCAACACCGTTTCATGCTAAACACTCAGCAAACTAGAAACAGAAGGGAACTCCCTTACCCTGGAAGAAACCCACAGCTGGCACCATATTTAAGGCAGAAAAACTTAAAACTTTCCCCCCATCAGGAGCAAGACAATGATGTCTGCTCCTCCAACTTCTCCCCACTATCCCAGAGGTTCTCACCCCGGCAATTAAAGAAGAAAAAAGAAATAGATCGAGAAGAAAGTAGTCAGCTATGCCTATTGGAAGGTGACACAACCTTGTACATGGAAAATGCCAAGAAACCCAGACACACGCAAACGTTAGAGCTAAAAACAAGGCCACAAGACTGTAGGATCAATATATAAAAACCAACTGCGTGGATCAATACGCACCAGCAAAGAACAGTCCAAAAATTAAATTAAGAAAACAGTTTCACCGACAACAGCCCAGCAACAGAGAGGCCTTCTGAAGGTCCCTGAGCCGCTCTCTGATACCTCAGGGTGGCCCCAGTGGGGATCTGCAGGGACAAGAATGAACAAAAGAGCAAACTTCTAGGGACCGGCAGCAACAGCCACCATCCTCCACGTCTGAAAGCCAGGGTTTGGCTTTTCTACCACATGCCCCAGAGGGAGTCTGGGTGCTGGGGAACCCGGGCTCCTGGTCTCCGCTGTGCTGGGGGCCAGGCAGAGTGGGGACGGAGCTCCGGGGTCAGGGGTCCGCGGCGGCTGCGGGCTGAGCTGAGCCTCCGTCTTGACGTGGCAGCAGGACCCCCACAGGTGCCGGCGCCCCCAGGAGCACAGCTCCTGACAAGCCGCCCCTCTCCCTCCGGAAACACAGTCTCCGCGGAACAGTGGGGGGCCAGGCCGGCAGGAGGCTCTGCCCCAACGCCCCCGCACCCTCCCCAAGGACCTGCAGGGAGGAGCACACACGGGCAGGACGCCGGGGCCGCCAGATGGAAAGGCAGGGACCCCAGCTCCTATTCCCAGCCAGCCCCAAGGGAGGCCCAGCCTGCAAAGCATCCAGGGAGGCACCAGGCACCCCGCGCTGCCCAGGGTAACGTCCACCAGGCCCGTGAGGCCGGCACCCCGGAGGGGCAGCAGGAAGAGCTGGGGCCAGGCTGTGAGCCCACCTGTAAGGGCAGAGTGCAGAGGACAGAGGGCATGACTGCCCGGGACCTAGAAGTGGGGGGAGGGCAGGCCGGAGCTCGGGGGCCTGCCCACCGCTCCAGGTTCCTCGTCCCCAGATGGGCAGGCTGAGGCCCAGGGGCTGCGTGAGGGCTGTGGGTGCTGGGGCTGGGCTGCCTGCCTGGGGCCTGCACTGCATCCCCACCTGGAGAAGTTTCCTTATGTCTGTCCACCCTGCACGCTAGAACCACACGGGGCCTTCGGGACAGCGCAGTGCCGGGTGGAGCCTGAGGTGGCCAGTCCTGCAGAGGCAGGTGCCAGCGAAGGCCGCGGGGCCAGAGGGGCGGGGTGCGTGCTTCACCTGCAGAGTGCCAGGCAGGGGCCTAGGCTGGGGGCACAGGGCCCGGGTCTGGTCGGCGGGCCGGGGGCAGACAGCGAACACTCCACATTTTTGGCAGCTGAAGGGCCTGGTCTGAACAGTTGCCTTTCTATTCCGCAGAAGCCACCAGCTTTGCATCTCAGGGCCCTGCAGCGGGTGGGAGTGGATTCCAGCCGATGGTGGAGGGGTGCAGGGGACGCTGCGGGGTGACAGCCAGGCCCTGCCCATACTTCAGACCCCCAAGGCCAGGCTGGGTCCCAATCCCCACCCTAGGGGTGACCCTGGGTTCCTCCCTCAGAGCAGCCCCAGGTACACAGGGATGCGCTCTGAGCAAACAGCTTCCTGCCCGCTTGACCACCAGGTCTCCCTTCGGGAGCCCCTTGGGGGCCCAGAAAAGACTCAGACCCCAGCCCTACCTCCCAGGGTCCCAGGCTGGTGAGGAGACACCCAGAAAGGAGCCGTGAGCGAGCAGGCGGCCCTGACGGGCGGGAGCTCCGGGGAGGCCCTGCTCTCATGCTCGGCCCAGCCCCACTGGGGAAGCAGGCCTGGAGGGCTGACGTCAGTGGTCCCAGGGTCCCTGTCAGCCCGCAGGTGCTCCCCTGTCTGAGACTACCTCTTCTTGCTCCCCCTCAGGGTCGGGGGCCCCATGACTCCTTCTGGAGCATCTGCTCTGGGCCAGGCCCTTACATTCACCACAAAGACCAGCACAGCCATCCAGTCAAGAGCAGGGAAACCACCTGCCAAGGTCACATGCAAGGTCACCCAAGGTCACAGGGCCAGGTGGTCCTGTGCTGGAAGAGCCCAGCAGAGTCACGTTCCCAGACTCACGCTCAGCGGTCCCCAGCACATGGGCCGGGGTCTACAGATGGACCTCAGGGCAAACAGCCCTCCCTGGCCTGGGCAGCTCAGGGCACTTGCTCGCCTCTTCAGGCCAGGGGCCCACAAGGGACAGCCATCCACCGGGCTCCAAAAATGCTGGCTCCTTCACCTGGGCCACCCCACCCAGCCTGAGCCCCGAGACTCAGCTGTAATTTGTACCCTACGGAATAGACAGAACTGGCGAGGCCAGGGTGAGGGGTCACGAGGCCATGGTGGGGGGGTCACGAGGCCAGGATCAGGGGTCACGAGGCCAGGGTGAGGGATCACATGGTCAGCAGAAAGCACAGAGAGGCAGGGGGTACTTCCCAGCCAGGCGGGGCCCAAAGCCCACCCCAGGTTTCAGACTGCATTCTCAGAGAGGGATGGGGTGGGGAGGACGGGATGACATGCTTGGAAGGCAGGTGGCTGCGGTGCTTGCAGGGCTGAGCATGGCCCTGCACTCATGCTTTTGCCGGGGCTGCTGTGGGCAGCTCTGTGCCCATAGCATCCTCCCGCTCACTAACTCAGCACCACAGAGGGGTCCCGGCTTCCTGCCCACGTCCCGCGGCCACAGGAAGGGCCCTGCAGGAGTGTGTGTGTCCACAGGTGCGCAAGCCAGGCAGATGGCTCTGATGGGCACTTCCAAGGCCCCCAGGATGGAGCCCAACTCCCTGCTTCACCATTTGACCCCTGGATGCCCCCTACAACAAGCGTTCTGCTCCCCAGCCCTTCCCAGGCTCTGTTCTGGAGGCCCAGCACCCCACTGTACAGCCACATCTTCCTTAGGGGGGCCTGTTCTCCCCATTTCTGTCTAGAGCTTCCAGGGAAATTCACAACAGATGGGGGACAAGGGAGCTGAACCAGCCAAGCGTGCCACCTGGACCCCTTGGGAGTTGATGGCGCGGCCTCCCAGGAGTCCTGTAACAGGACGAACACTGGGTGGAGGCCAGAATTCAAGGCCTTCTGCCTTTATCTGGGAACGGAGAGCAGGCTGAGACCCTCAGGCCTGTGAGATGTGGTGGCCGCCCCCCACCAACATCCTCCCCACAGCCGCTGGGGGCCCCTCCCCTTCCCGGGAGTTCCTCTCCCCCAAGAGCACACCAAGCCTTTCTGCGCCATCGCTTTAATGGACAGACCATCAGACGCTTTTGCCCAAAGAAAGAATAACTGAGCAGGGTTCTGGGCATCTCACGGTACGTAAATACACAGATCACGTTTGTACATCTCACGGCAGACACGTACCCACAGCATAGGAGCGCGCAGCGCAGCGCTGCGGGCCACCACGCACTGCGCCGGAAACCCCTCCCGGGGCTGCGCGTGAGCGGGCCCCGTGGGGCGGGGCCATGCCTGCGACCACGCCCCCACACGCTAGCTCAAAGGCGTCCTGCAGCCACACGTGGAAGATGCTCCTTAACGTGGAAGACTCCCCAGGGACAGGGGAGTCCCGGGACGCTCGCCGTCACCGGATACGGCCCCAGGGCAACAGAGGGGTCCCGACGGTCACTCGAGCTCCGAGACGAGGAGGACGGGGGCGGCAGGCCGCAGACAACACGGGGCTGACTCAGTTCGCAGGCGCAGCAGACACTGCGGTCCACACACTCCGAGGGATCTCCCTCATCCACTTGGTGTCTGATGGGGTGCGCCGCTGCGTCTCTGTGAGGTCACGATGCCGGCACAGCTCCTCGCCCGGTCCTTAACATTCCGGAATCCCGGGGGCAGGCCCAGGGCACCAAGACCTCCTGGTCACCACTTGGAGTTCCAACACCCGGGCCACAGGCCACGTGACGCCGATGGGCTGCAGCCACAAATGCTTTTCACCATGTATGCATTTTGGTGGGTTTGTTTTCTTTTGGTTTAAAAAAAAAAACACCATGGCAGGCTCTCAGGTATATAAAACTTGGTAATATTAGACAAAAATACAAACTTCACCTTTACAAAAAAACAAAATCAAACAACAACACACCGAATTTCTGTTGAATACATGTAAAGCATCACATCTTACCAAAAATAAGAGTTTAGTTTCTGTCCAAACACTGGCAGCAGCAGGGAGCAAGCCCAGGCCACCGCTCGGGAAAGCCAGGTCCTCAGGCCCAGCCACGGCAGGCGGGAGGCTGGGGGACAGCATGTGATTGCTCCACGCAGTTCTCTCGAAATGGCTTAAATTAAAAGATGGATGAAACGGGGCAAGGAAGAAACACGTAAAGCCAGAAACATTTAGGAAATGATGCATAGGTGGGTATACCATGTTTATTTTAATACATCTCATCCGCTCGCATCCTGCCAGGAAAGGTACCGTCCCACTGTCCTGTTACAGCAGCCTCGTGTTATCGGTGTAAATGTCATCCAAAGAGATAATTAAAAAAAAAAAAAGCTAGGCCAAGAGTAAAAAGGAAAGCTGAATAATCACTTTATGATGTAAAAAAAAAAATCCACTTAAGGCTCTCAGGGAGGTTTCTGGATAAGACTCAAACACTACGGCAAGGAGATGTGGTTTCCCAGACAGTCCTGGCTCCTGCGTGCGTCTGCAGAGCCCACGGCCTCCGATCACAGCCTTCAGAAAGAGGCTCTGCATCCCTGGCAGAAGCACCTGTGGCCGCCCTGGACAGAGATCCAGTCCGCCGAGACGCCAGTCCTTCCGTCCCTCGGGGCGTCCCTCCATTCCGGCAACTGTTCAGATATTTTTGTGAGTTTTGTTTGTCATGTTTCGTGGTTTTGTTTGCTCTTTTTTTTTTTGACAAGGAAGCGTCTTATTGTTTCACCGAGTGCTACAATACTTGCTTTGATGTCACATGAACAACGTATACTGTCTCTTTGTTCTCCAAAGCGTGCATGGAGACAGTTTTCACGGAGGAGAACAAAGACCACGCTGGCAGTAAGCACCGTACATAGTAGGTTCAGGAATGTAACACGCCATGTACATCCGTGTCCCGGGAGAGGGCTGCTGGCTGATCTTCACCTCACATCTGTGGGCAGGAGAGAGACAGACACTGAGAAGCCACGAACTCACGAGCGCCATGACAGCACGCACACGCACGCACACACGCTGCGTGGTAGCTTGCAGGATTTAAAGCCTTTGTTAAATTTTTCAAATCAGATATGCCCCATTACCCTTTCTATAACATCCTGACCAGAACTGGGACTCGGCTCTTGGGATCTCAAAGAACACAGCTTCAGAGCAAGCCCCATTCTCCCATTGTACAGATAGGGAAAACTGAGGCCCAGAAGGGTTCTTCTGCTTTTCTCACCTTTCTCTTTCTTCTGGCCTACAGCTTGATGTGATTTCTGGTGCTCCAGCAGCCATTCTGGGCCATGAGGCAATCTTGCCACTGAATGCCACCACTGAGACACAGGGGTCTCTGTGACTGGGCAGGGTACACAGACCTCAGCTTACAGCAGCTCTTCCCCACCCTACACCACCTATCTGTTGCTCATCCCAACATTTGTGCCACATGCCGAGAGCCTGAATGCTAGCAGGGAGGCAGGGATGGGTCTCTCCCTTTGGGGTCTCTGTCATCAGCTGGCCCATGGAGGCTCAGCCCAGTGGCTGCAGACTGAGAAGCACAGGCAGGTACAGATCAGCCCCTACACACCCTCAGGACCCAAAGCCAAGGCTGCGCAGTCAGGGGCTGCTTCAGGATCTGTCTATATGGACCCTTCCTCCCAGAGGAGCCTCCCAAGTGGACCTGGCCCACAGGCGTCAGAAGCTCCTCGCCTGGTCAGCTTCTACAGTTACACATCACTCAGCTGGGCCCTGGGTTCCCAGGCACCTATTGCTAAGAGTTCCTCTCACAACTATTTGTCTTGGATGCCATGGGCTCTCACATGCCCAGGAGCAAGGACCAGGCTCTCCAGAGGCAGATAGTCCAACAGGAAGGACCAGGAAGACTTATCACTGCCTCCTCCATGACAACTGCAGTTGCCCACACCCACCTCCCCTGGGAAGCCCCTCTAAAAGGCCACTTTTCCCAGGCCCCCTTAGAGTGGAGGGGTGGCCAGTGAGATTAAAGCAAAAGTCACTGGGTCCTTTCACTGTTCTCCTCACCATAATCTTTCTTCCAGCCTGGAGTGCACCACGATTTCTGGAGCTGTGGCAGCCATCCCAGGCCACGAGGCTGAGGACGGACATCGCCAGCCCTGCAGTGGGTGTCTGATGGCACTGTGAGACTGCCATGCCTGCGCTGTCTCTGCCTTACCGCGCCCTTACTTCTGGTGTGTTGTTAGCGGCCAAACACAGTTTCCAATACAGCAGCCAACAGCCCTACGTGTTTACAAAGCATTTCAGACAGATCGATCCAGCCTTTAACAAGTCTCATCTGTGATCCCGGTAAGCCTCAGTTTTTCCATCTGTCGAAGTAGTGGGTAAGCTGTCCGCGTGATCCCAGCAATTAAACACAGGAGCTACGCCACTGCTGCTCAGGGAGCCCAACTCACCCCGCGCCTATGATCTCTGCCTCCCGATCAATGAGGACCAAAGCCAGAGCGGGGGCCCTGGAGCAGGAGGGGGCTGGGGGCCAGGCGTCCCGAGCAGCAGGAGAAGGGGCAGAGAACAGGAGCGCAGAGTCCCGCAGCCCGGCCAGACAGACAGCGGAAGCTCGCGGGCAGATCAAGGCCAATCAGGGCGCGTCCTCGCCTGTGAGTGATTCGCCGAATGATCGGGCGCTGCGCCTCCCACGCCAGGACGGTGGCGCGGCGGGCAGGCAGCTCCTACCTGGTTGGCCACGTTAGGTGGGTTTTAACTTTTTTCTTTTCCGTTTTTTACCTGACTCCCTACGCCTTCCTGTTGACAGAAGGGCAGGAAGGGTGAGTGGGCCCGAGGGAGGGTATGGGGTGGAAACTGAAGCAATAAATACCTGGGGTGTTTGTCTTTCTGTAAAACAGCTCGACGGCGCTGGCAGGGAGACACTTCCTGGTCTCGTGAGCTGGCCCGGCGCGGCGGTCACGACGCCGGGCTGCTCAGGGCAGTCTGCCCGAAAAGGCCAGGTCCCCGAGCGCCAACGCTGTGGCCAGCGCCTGCCACCCGCCAGGGACGGGCTGCATCTCTCCACTCACCACTCGGGCTGGGGCAGGAGACAGGCCCTCACAGCAGCCTGACCCCTCCCTCCAGGCACGTGGCCGTGTCCCTGCGATGCCCTCGGGGGCAGCGCGCCACCCCACAGCAGGTCCCGGGCCGACAGGCCTCAGCTCCAGCCCCCCAACCCCGCCACCCCCCAAGGCCACTGGACGAGCCCACAGAAAGCAGGCTCGGCGCCCCTGGGCCAACGGCAGGGACTCACCTGCCTCCTCCTCACGGTGCTCGGGGCTCGGGCTGGTGCTCGCGCACGTGCACTCCAGGTGCTCCTCCAGCCGCACCTGCACCTCTTTTAACTTCGCCTTCTTCCTGAAGTATTCCACCTTGGCCACCTGCCGAGAGAGCAGCGCGGCCGTGGACGAGCAGCACACGGGCCCGGGAGCCGAGACGACCCCTGACCTGACCTCCTCCCAGTGGGAAAAGTGGGGGCACCAGTGGGGAAGCAGTGAGACCCGGTGCGGCGTTTGTGGTTTGGTCCCATTTTACCTTGAGCCCAGAGGCTTGTGCACACCAGGAGAGGCCCTGAAGGGTGCCCTCGAGGGGGAGCTCCGGGTGAGGGAAGGAGTTTCCATGCTTCAGGGACACGTGGGACAGCCAGAGGTCAGCAAGGTGCGCCTGACCGTAAGCAGCCGAGGGCCAGGGCAGCCGCTCGAGGCCAGGGGACCATCCTCCCTCCGGCCCAATCCCGAGCCCCGAGGAGCAGCAGGAGGCGTGGGCCCACGTGGGGCTGTCGCTCTGGCCTGGTGGGGCTCTAGATGAAGATCCCTCAGCCGCCTGAGGCGGGGCCGGGCCCAGCCCTGCAGCCTCACCCAGCTCCCAGAACGGCCCCCAGGGACACTCTCTCCATCCCTCGCTCTCCACCCAGAGACATGGCTGAGGGGAGCAGGGCCCGGCCAAGATCCACCTCCGGCACTTGGAGGCCCAGGGGAAGCCTGGCTCATGGGCCACAGCTGATCAGGGTGAACAGGACCCCAGGCCGCAAACAGAAGCCTCCAGCCTGGGACAGTCCTTTACAAGGAGCTTCAAGGCCAGAAACTGGGGGACCCTGGGCAGAGGGTTGGCCTGCACTCCGGTGGCCGGGCTGCCCACCCCATAGGTGAGCAGGCCCGGAGGCCCATCCAGACCTGGAGTGGCCACCTGGCCGCATGCATTAACCAAACAGAAGAGAGCCGGTAGCCCGCCGGCCATGTGAAGCGGCCGTGGCTCAGACGGGGTCAGGAGCCAGGCTGGGTTTGGGGCCAGGCCTGGCGGTTTCCCAATTCGAGACCTCGAGACCAAGGAGAGAGGAGGCCTTGCCTTCGGTGGGAGCTCCTGCGGGACGTCTTCACCCAGGGCGGCCTGGGGCTCGCCTGCCCCTGCCCCTGCCCCCTTCCCCGGGGAGAGTCCAAGAGCCAGGCATGTGGGCCATGTAGGCAGCCAGCCTCTGCCTTCCCATCTGTAACGTGGGAACAGAGATCACACACACCAGGGGTCATGGTGAAGGACAAACAGCTCACACACACAGAAGTGCCTGGAACTGGGGTCACTGTCCAGAGGCCATTGAAGTTGGCACCTTCGCACAGAGCCTGTCCGAGGCCCCCATCCAGAGAAGCCAGCCTGCCGGCCCAAGCAGTGTTGCCCACTCCCCTGGGGCTCAGGCAGCGGGCACACAGGCCAGCACCTCACCCTGCCCTGGACCCCGCTCAGTGCCCACATGCTTCCCGCCACTCTGGCCTCTGCTGGGGGACACAGGGCTTGGCCCTCTGGATGGCACGCCTCTGGCCAGTGGGCACCTCCCCGGTATCCTCTGCAGGGCAGGATGAGGACCCAGGCCCCCATGGCCGGCGTGGGTGTGGGGGAGGGGGAGGCTCGCCAGCCACCAGACAGACCACTTGGGGAACAGCGCTGGGCCCAGTAGCACTGCCCTGGCAGGCCCCTCAGTGAAGGGTGCACAACAGCGGCCACTCCAGTCTTTAGAGAAAAATCTTGTTTTTCTTATCACAGAAAAACAAACGGATTCATGGCTGCACCTGCTTCTGTGTATGCAAGGATTCCAGGCCGGTCCACCACCTCCATCTGGCCAGGAAATGGCTACATTTTTGCCCCAAGAACGTGCTGTGAATATTAAATTCTCAAAAGCATCGTCTGCTCTAGCCAAGGCCATGATGAAGATGCTGACGTCCTTGGAGCCCCACCCCCAGACCTACACTGCAGCCTCTCGGAGCCCACACCCCATGCTCTCCCCAATGTTTGTCTCGGCCGCTCCTGAAAAACCAGACACTCGGATCCCCGCCATGGAGCTGCCCCACCTGCGGGGTCCCGGGCCAAACCCACCCGAGCACACCACCTGCGATGCCGTCAGCCTTCTGAGCCAGGCCTTGGGTTCCTGCGCCCGGCAGCCCCCATGAAGCAGGACACCCCAGAATGGCCCACACCCTGCAGGGCCCCCCACCAACCCAGGTCATCCGGAATAAACAGCAGCATCTCCTGAACCCCACGGGCCAGACCCGTGACACAGCAGCCTCGAGAGGGCACTACCACAGCCCATTTCACAGACAGAGAAACTGAGGCAGCACAGACAGGGCTTGGCTCACTGGGAGGGGCCCTGGACTTGGAACCAGCAGAGGCCGAGTGCGCCCCTCAGCTGGGGGCGTCCTCAGTCCGCTGGGCGGGGTCGCCGGGGCCCTGCAGACCCCCGTCCACTCAGAACGGAGTCCGGCTCCCAGGGTCACGACAGACAGACTGACCTGGCTCCCAGGCGGGTGGCAGGAGGTGGGAGGCCTTCTCCAGGCCCAGTTTAGCGGCCACGGTGGCTGGAGAAGAGAGCCCCAGCTCCAGGGCCTGGCGGCCGATGGGGTCTGGCCTCCCTGACTGACCAGGGCTCAAGACGGGCAAGCAGTGGGCGCCTCCCCCTGCAAGGCAGGGACTCAGGATCCCGGCACCAGGACACGCTGCCAGAGCCACTGCCTCACCCTCACGGCCCCGACCTGGCTCCGGGAGCAGCAACGGCCAATGCGGCCCCCATGGGGACCCCCACCCAGAGCACAGGCCCCTCGTCCACGAGGGGTGCAGAGGCCGTCCTGGGCTTCCCCACGGAGACATGCCAGGCCAGAGGCCAGAGGCCTGGCGAAGTAGGACTGCAGTTAACTGCCCGTGTCTAGAGGCCTGGCCCACGGCTGCCCTGAAAACAGGGCCGCCCCATACTCCCAACACGGAGAGGCTGGAGGCCCACCCACTGGCGGCAGCGGGGAGCCGCTCCTTCAGCCTGAGCGACCATTGCCCACACCCAGCTACCCCGTCCCGGCCACGGAGGCTCAGGTCTAGGGCCGAGGTCTGCGTCTCAGCCTGTATCAGGGGGCAAAGTGCTGACCTTGCTGAGCAGGGTGCAGGGGAGGTGGCCGGGACCCCTGCCCACATGGCAATACGGTGGGTCTACAGGGGCTCCGGGGTCCATTAGCCACCCCCAGGGCAGGCCCTGGAGGTCACAGGTCCCTAGGGAGCTGTGAAACCTCTGGCTGCCCTCCACGGAGGTCACAGCAGGGCTCTGGGGGGCAGGCCACTGGCCCGGGCATGTCCTGACCCCAGGCCCGGGTCCACCTGCAGCTGAGGGTGCCCGCCTGGTTCAATCGCCCGGGAGACCGACCCGGCCTCCCCGCCCTCTCCTCCCAACAAGGGGCCTCGGGCTGTGCATCGTCCGTGACCCCCAGCGCCCACCCCGCGCTCAGTCTGGGCCCCGAGGACCCCCTCTCTGCTTGGCCTCAACCCCAAATGGACGGGGTGGCCCCTGGCCAGGCCAGGGGGTGGGTGCTCCACAATGGGCCCCCTGTTCCCACTGGCCTCCGTCTCCTCCTGCCAGAACCCCAGGGTCTGGGGCCAGATGTCTCTTTGCCGACCTCCTGATGGAGAGGGGGTGGGCGAAGGCGCGCAGGGCACCAGATGGGGGGCCGGGCTGCCAGGCCCCCCACAGTGGGCTGACGCCCCCCTCCCCGGGGAGACATAGCCCGGCTCTCCCACCTGCTGGTCAGGCCTGTGCCCCAGCAGACGGAACCCCTGCCCTCACCCACCGAGACCCCCGAGGAGCTCTGGCCACCTGCCCTCACCCACCGAGACCCCCGAGGAGCTCCGGGCCACCCGCCCTCACCCACCGAGACCCCCAGGGAGCTCCAGACCACCCACCCACCCTAAGGACGGACCAGGGGAGACAGAGGGTCACTGCTCAGGCCGGGACCAGACCACGGGAAGCAAGAGTGGGAGCCGTGGGGGACCTCAACAGCTGGAGCCACAGGCAGACAGCCGGCTCCGTTTCCGCTCCCCTGTACCTCCAGGCCCCTGCCGCTGGCCCGACAGACAGGCTCCAGAGTTCACAAGCAGGATCATCTAATCTAGGGCACCCCACCCCCAGGCCCAAGAGACAAAGACCTCAGTTCTGTGGACTCCTGGGACTCCTAAGACCCCTCAACACACCACAAGGAGGGATCCCCAGACCCAACAGAAGCCGAGGAGGCTGGGTTGAGAGCCAGGGCCGCAGCTGAGCCCGCAGGCAGGCATCAGGCCTGCTTCCTCCTTGAACTGAGGAGGACGCAGCAGCGGGGCCCCCTACCTGGAGTCTGAGGCCTGAGGCGGGAGCCAGCGCCCCAGGCAGGCACTCCAGGGCACCTTGGCCCCAGAGGAGTGTCCACCTAAGATCGCAGGCAGGCAGCCAGCCGTGGAATCCGCTTACTCAATCCCCAAAGCACGCAGAGGACCAAGTCCCCGAGGTCAAGTCAAGTCCCAGTTAGAGTCTAAAGTGCTTCTCGCGTGCCAGCTACAGGGTCCTTAACTCCACACCTCACTCTGGAGCCAGAAGCCTGAACTCAGACTTGCAGGCTATCTAAAATAATTCCCAGTGGAGAAAAGAGTTCTACTGCACCCCCGGAGCGGAAGTCTGCGTTCCAGGAAAACTGGAGGCCCGGCTGAAGGCGGGGGAGGGGGGTGCTGCTCCTTGGGGATGGTACCAAGTCCACACCCCAGGGACCACGACCCACCCAGAGCCAGACCTTCCGTGGGGGCGGGCAGTCCCCGTGTCCCAGACCCACTCCCCAGAAGAGGCAGGTGCGGCCCGAGGAGAGTAAGCCCAGGCTAAGAAAGGCTTCCAGATGTAGGGCCGGAAGCCAGACCCTAGTTTAGCTGCCCAGTGACCTGAGGAAGCAGAATTTCCCCCAGATTCAGAGGACGAGCCCCAATATGTGTCCTTGGAACCTGCAATACCCCATGATGCCCTTAGTGGTCAAACCAACAAGCCTCTTGACTGGGAGAAGGCTTCGCAGTGAGCACTGGCCGTGTACTGGCTCCTAGGAGCCCAATACAGGAGGCAGAGACGTCTGACTCAAGCCGCTGGGCCTGTGGGTCTCCACGCAAAGCACACCTTCCTGAAACAGGGGGCGACCTGGCTCCCAAAAGGACGCCCCTGGCTGGTGCTCCATCAACACACACGTCCAGTGGAGAGGGGCACCCTCCCAGGTTTCACAGGGGCTGGAGGTCTAGCATGACGGGCGTGTGCCTGGCCCTGCGGCCTGAGTTCTGAGCCAAGTTCTGAGCCATGGTGGGAGTCAGCATCCCCAACCGGCCCCAGCCAAGGGTTCCCTGCCGGCCTCGGTGGGGAGAGGCTCTCAGGGGATGCCCAGCCCCCTTGCCACGCACCACAGCCCCCACTAAAGTGCCCAAGAGATCCTTCCAGGGCCTGGAGGAGACACCAGGCAGCTCTCAGCTAAATGGCTGGACACCATGTGAGACCTGTCGGTGAGGCAAACAACCAGGTCATCCCAAGATTCAAATGTGTTTCCCATGAGAGGCCCTTGGAGGGGGGGCCTGGACGCCACCCTTAAACCACCCACCAGGACCCAAGCCCCAGTCCCGCCCTGGGCCTCAGTGTGCCTGTCAGAGAAGTGGACGTGTTCCCCGCCTCATAGCCGCAGCGGCCGCCGTGGGCCAGGGGCGCGCGGGCTCACCTTGACGCTGCGGTGGTGCACCCGTGACGGCTGGCACTTGACGCTGCTCGTGTTACAGCAGCCGGTGCAGCGCTTCACCTCCACGCACGGCGGCCAGATCAGGAAGTTGGCGGACGTGGGGTCCACCTGGCTCCGAGGTATCTCGTAGATGACAGTCCTGGTCTTGCAGACCGCCGGGATGGCCTCCTCTGCAGAGATGAGGGGTGGGTGAACATGCTAGAAGCCCCAGGGCTGTGGCAGCTCCCAGGGGTCCAGGCAGGAGTGACCCACGGCCCACGGCTTCTGCCCACGGGACATGTCACACAGACCCCGGTCCAGCACAGGCAGAAAGACCCCAGCCCCCAACTGCGTGCCGCTGACTGGCCCAAAGATGAGCAGTAATTTGAGGGCTGGGAGGGGAGACCCCAGAGGGGCAGGGGACTACAGAGAGCCTCCCTTGGGGCGTGGGGGCTGGAAAGGGGCTCACACAGCCCCTGAGGCCAGCTTGGAGCCGGGACACCGCCTTCACTCAGGGCGGGGGGGCAGGGGGCCGGCTCTCACCTGCCCCACCTCCCAAGGGCCCCACCTCTCACAAGCACATTTTCAGTGGCCCTCAAGTCAAGAGCAGGAAGGGGTCCCGCTCACAGTGCCCAACCCAGCGCCCACCAGCAGGAAGGGTGTGGGGAGGCCAGCCAGGCAGGGCTTCAGTCCAGTTCCAGTTCCGCTCAAGGGCAGACCCCCGTCAGCCCCACAGACTCGAGGCAGCACACGTCACCTGGGAGGGCCTGCTGGCCTCAACCAGGAATCATCTACCCACACACCGCGCCCAAAGGTAGAAGCTATAAAATCCATATTCTTGGAAAGACAGCTCAGACAGAGGGAGTCACAGGCCCAAGGTCACACGGAGGACGGGCAGCTGTCAGGACCCCCAGGTGGCACGGGACTGGGTGGCCACACCCCCCAACTGCACCCCCGGGGCAAGGTCTCCCCTCAAGGCCGAGCCCGAGGCCCTAGGAGACCTCCATCAGCCAGTCACTCCTGAAGGGGCCAGGCAGACCCCAGATGCTCAGAGTGGGGCCAGGGGGCCAGGCCTGCGGGGGGTGGGGACCCCAGAAAGGGACCCCAGGCCCAGCACGGCTGCACCCACCACACCGCAGGGCAGCGGGGAACACTCTGTGCTCGATGTTATGAGCTGCAAATTAAACACGACCCATCCTCCAGGGAGGCTGCCTCCAGCGCAGGTCCCAACAAGACTGGGCACTTCAGGAATTTATGACGGCTCCCCGCTTCTGGAAACTCTTGGCCCAAGCCAGGCCTGCAGTGGGGAGCGGGTGGGCCGGGGTGGAGAGGGGGGCACGGGGCCTGCGCAGCACAGAAGGGGCAGACCCCACGTCCCGGTATGGGGGCACATCCCCGGAGCCCCTCCACAGGCCCCCAGCCCGGGGACTCACCGATGCTCCTTTTCCTCCGGATGGGCACTGGCCGCTTCTCCGGAGCATGCTTGGAGCCGTGGCCCCCGTGGGCTCTCAGACTGGTTTCCAAAGGCTCCTCGGCTCCTACAGGAGAAAGAGGAGATGCCGACTGGCTGCCCACATCCGGGCCTCTGGGGCCTGCGCAGCAGCACACCCCGCCACCCTCCTCCTTACAGAGGGGGTCCCCTCCGCACCCACATGGGGGGCCTCCAGACGTGCGCAGGATGAGACTCCCAACTGCCAAAGATGTCCCAGCCGCCCCATGCGGCTGGCACGAGGCTCCTGCCATGGGCGCCTGCCCTGCACCCCACCACAAAGCTGCATGCCAGCGGGGAAGGGCCAGAGGCCAGCCCACCTGGGACGCCTCCTCAGGGAAGCCGGGTGAGGGCTGACCCAGGGGAGGTGCCTGAAGCCAGCCCGCCCCGCCTGCAAGGCCGAGCCGACAGGCCTGCTGCTGCTTGCTGGACAGCGCACCTTGGACAGCGGGCTGGACAGCAGACTGGACTACGGGCCCGGCTGCGGCCGCAGCTTTTCTACCACCTCTGCTGCCCTCACTGGCCCAATCCTGGCTGAGCATCCGGCCCTGCAGGGGCATCAGAAGCAAGGCCAGACTGGGCCTCGGTCACATCCCACTCGCCCCTGAACATCAGCCCGCCATGACAGAGAGGCCACAAGAACCTGGAGCAGCGCGTCAGGAATCCGGTGCCCGGTGACGGGACATGGCTCTCAGGAAGGAAAGTGCTTTGAGCGGCCCCAGAGCCAAGGTCACCACTGGGCCTAGCGCCCCAGGCTGGCTACAGCCCCCTCAGTACACACACCACCACCCGCTCTGCCCCCAGGGCCCCCCAGACAGGGCTCGGAAGGGACACACACACCTGCCGTCTGGCCTGACCCCGCCCAAGGACAGCACCTGCACCAGGATGGAGTGGGCCACACGTGGCTGCACCACCCTGGCCCTCAGACCCAGTGGGGGAATCTCCCCACTTCTCCCCTCCATCACTGCTTCCCCCACAGTTAACCAGGGACAGTGGGCTCTGAGAAAGCACGGCTCAAGGGCCACAGCTGCCCAACGATCCCGTTCTCACCACCTCCCCTCCCCAAGAAGCTCCAGTGGTATCCCGGCCACGAGCCCAGACCCGAGGACCACCCCCTCCCCGATGCGCAGCACAGAGGCCTTGGAGACGGTCCTCACGCCCGCAGTCTGAAGCTGCACTCACTAGAAGAGAAGCGCAAACAGAAAACGCAGCAGGAACACAAGATGCACCGCCTTGCACGCCGCCGTCCAGGAGAACCCAGCTCTTCCCTCAAAATGACTCAATGTTCCACTGCCACTAATTTTTTCTGAGACTCAAAATAAGATCAGAACAGAACTACTCATGCAGTAAGAATTTCCCATCCACCAACTGTTACAAGAAGCATTTTTTCACGAAAAAAGTGACATTATGAGTCACGTCCTGGTGGTGGCCATCTTGCCATCGCCAAGCCCGGGAGCAGCTGGTCCGTCCTCAGCTTATAGGAGACAGCGAATGGCAGCAGCCCAGGCTGCACTCCACCCCGCGCTCCGGCCAGGCCAGAGCGGCCTTCCACGACACCATGGGGCTGCCACCTCTTCACCTCGGAGGAAACTGAGGCCAAGGCTCAGAAGGACAAGCAAGACCAATGGCCAGCAGGAGACACCAGACTGCCTGCCCTCCCACCCAGGCCTCTTGCCCCTGAAGAAGCAGAGAAGACAGAGCCTCCTGGTCCATCAACTGTTCTGAAGCCTGAACCCAGGACTCAATCCCCAGCAAGAGTAGAAAGAGCTCCCAGTCGGACAAGCTCGCCGGCTACCCTATGGAGACTGGTGGCCCGGAAACCCAGCCCAGACCTCGCTGACGGGGAGGTGGCCCTCTGCTCTAAGCGGGTGGAGATGCCCCCGGCAGGATTCCCCCACCCCACTCCCCCAAGAGAAGGCTGCACATGAATCACACCCGAAAATGGCTCTCAGGACAGTTCATCAACTGGTTTTCCCTTCTGCCTCTTTTGCACAGATGTCCGGAGAATAGAGAGCCGTCTTCCAGCCGTCAGTCCTGGAGGAGCATTAATGGCCTAATGGGATGATATTTATGTATCCTTACTCAATGGACACGGGCGCCCGGCCAGGCTTCGGAGAACAAAGCTCCCAGCTCCCAGCTCCCGAGCGGCTGAATGGTCTGCTCTCAGACACCCGACACACAGGCCGCAAACTCCATGCTACTGGTCATTAAAAGACCAGTAGCACCCAAAGGTCATTAAAAGACCCGGCACCCAAAGGTCACACGTGAAAAATCAACTGTCCGGTCCGTGAGCGCGCGGGCGCGGGCAAGGAATCCACCGCCTGCGGGCCTGGGCGCAGCGCCTCACCTGGGAGACGGGAACGGCCCGGCCCCTGGAAGCCACGCCCACCTGCCAGTCACGAGGCCCCGCCCCAGGAAGGAGCCACTGCAAACCCAAGTTTCTTTTCCCGCTCCCAGGCATCAGTCTCCAAGAGCTCTGCTCCGAGCTATAGGAGGAAGGACACCTAGGCCAACGGGTCTTCTCTGCACCCAGCCGCCTCTTCACTGATCCCACCTCTGGCTGACCCTGGTGGGGAGTCCTGGGCCTGGAGAAGTAACCCCACAGCAGTTTACAACCTTTCCTAGCAGTGGGGTCCATTTCTACTCTTCATTTGGGCAGAAACAGAAGTTGGGGAAGACACCCATAGCCCCAGTCCACTCCTTCTGCAAAACAAGCTACAGAAGCAACCAGCTCAGGTCAGAGCTATGAGAGGGGGACCACCCAGAGCTCTGATGAAGGAGCCCGCCATGGGGTTGTGTCACAAAGGGTCCCAGAGGGGACAAGGCTACTGAACAAAGGAGACCCTGGGGCCCCTCCAGTGTTCTCAGCCCAAAGCTCACAGGCACTAGAAGCCCCCTCTCAGACCCCAGCTACCCCAGCAGGTGGGGGAGGGAGGGAGGTGATACTCTCCGTCCACTCCCTGGGGCTGGAGGGAGCCAGGCCCCCAGGGCTTTTAATCAGGGGGTGATTTGAAACCAGCCCGGAGAGCCTGCTGGTGCAACCTTGCTTCTTCTATTTGGACCCTCCAAGGAGGCCACGGACTCAGAAGTCCCCAGGTCAGGAATGCTATCAGCATGACCCCAGAGCTGCAATGCTAAAAGCATTAATGGGTGGGGGGTGGGGGGAGGCGGGGCTGCAGAAAACAGAATAAGAATGGTCCCAGCAGAAAGTGAATGGCCCATTTCCCCACCAAAACCCAAAGCAGGTCCTGCGGGGAGGCCCAGCCTTTCCCAGGGAAAAACCTCTTGGGAGCCAGTCTCCCCATTTCCCAAGTCCATCAGGGAGCAGCAGAATGCAGGCAAGTGTTCTCCTCAGCTAACCAAAGCCAAACCCTTCTCCCCAGGGTAACACATCAAGGAACCATATCAAAATCCGCGCCCCCCCCCCCACTCTGATCTCCAAGTGAAATTCTACCCCCCTTCCTGATAAGGATCAGCCAAAGGATTTCCTGGGTCAAGAAACTACAGAAACCATCGCCCTTGCTAGAAAATGGTTTTGGCATGAAATGAAAATAGTTCAGGCCTCTCCACCACCATAATTAGGTACAAATTTCCAAATGACTAGACCATGTGATTTTACTTAATTCCCCCACCGTCCCCCCTTTTTAGAGTAGTCTGCAGTCGGAGAAAAATCTTCATTCCACTTAAAATTCTCCCAGCCAACCCCAGGCTAACTTTGGTTGCTACATTTGACAAGCTCACCTGGGGCCCCTTTTTGTCCAGTCAACAGTAAGTTTTCTGACATGAGTATCTCCCTAGCTAAACTCACAGTGGAGTTCCTGCCGCAGAAATGCGGGGCCCTGTCCTCTAGAAAGAGATTCCTCTGGTCCACAGGCAAGCACAGCCACCCAGCATCCCCAGGCTCCCAGCCAGGCCAATGTGGGTCGTCAGCACCTCTGCCCACCTGGGGCCAGCCCACCTCTGCAGCTGACCCACAACAGCTTCAGAAGTCTGCTTGACACTTCCTAAAGTGGCTCAACTCCAGGGCCTGGCGGGGAGCCCCCAAACAGTCCCCAAACAGCAGCGTGTCCAAGACGCGCCTTTTTTATTGGCTCTTGAAAACAGAAAAACACAGGATTCAACAACCACAAAGGCCCGGCCCGGCAGCAGGCGCAGGGCAAGTGCGCACGGATGACAAAGGGGCCCTCGGTGGGGCGGTGGGGGGCGGCACTGAGCACCAGCTTGCGACCAGAGGGCTCAGCGCCCAAGGCTTGGGCTGGCTCCTCCCGGCCGGAGGGCAGGTCCCGGACCGCACACCTGGCCGGGACGCCGGCGCCCTCTATGTGGCTTAACTTTCTGAGACACATTCGGCATTATCCTTAAAGCAAAAAAAAAAAAAAACAATCCCTGGGCGAGTGAGCGGCCCCGGCCGCCTCCGGGAGAGAAAGTGGTGATTGGAAGAGAAACTCCTGACTCATCCGCCTGGGCTTTTATGGCCCGGGATTGGATTCTGACCTTTCGGTGCGCTCCTGCGCGGCGCCCGGCCCGGCCCGAACGCGGGAGGCGGCACGGGGCGCACACACAGCCTGCCCGCCCGCCCGCGCCCTCCCCGCGCGCCGAGGGAAGGGGCGCGATTTACCTACGGAGTCTATCTCCAGGAGTCGCTGGAGGTCCCGGATGCTGTGGATCTGACTGTGCGCCAGCCTCTCAATGACCTCGCGGGGGATCTCGGCTTCCTGCAAGCATAACAACACGGTCAGCGCCCGTGGCTGCCCAGAGCGCCTGGTCCCCCACCCGGCCCGCGCCGGCGCCTTGCAGGAAGGCCGCCGGACCCCCAGCCTGGGTCCTGGAGCCCAAGGCCCAGGGTGGGGCTGGGTGAGACCCCCAATCCAATTCTCCGTCCCCATCCGTGTCTGCCCTTTACAAAAAGAAACCGCTCCCCACCTTTAAATGAAACACACACACACAAAACCCACCGGGCCCCTCTGCCCCGGGGTGTCCGTTACAAGAGGTCTAGGGGTAGCGAGGGGCCCGGGGAGTTGCTGGTCTAATAGTGAAATCAACATCGAGAAAGATCAAGTTGAAATGCGTCACGGACCGGCGGCGAAAGTCGCGGCAGCCCTAACACTTTAATCTACCCCGAGGTTTAAATTTCACACCCGGAATCCCGACCAAACCTGCGGGGGAGAGGGTCTGCAAACGCGCGCGCGCACACTCACAGTCGCCCCACCCCGGGCTCCGGCCCAGCTGCGGCCCTAGCGCCGACTAAGACGCCCCAAATCCAGCCGCGACTGGGAGGGGCTGCCAGGGAAGGTGAGGGTTAAATATCTATCTCTCGCAGCTCCGGGTCCCATCTCAGACTACCCCCCACTTCTCGGTCTCCCCCTACTCTGTCCAGATTTTTAAAGGGAGTCGGGGGTCGTGGGGGGTCTCAAGCAGTAAGTCCCCACGACGGGGGAGTAGAAAGTCGTTTATCACAGCACAGCTCACGAGGATTCGGAATTCGAGATTGAGGGTGGGGGTGGGGACGCGGGCGGTGGGAGGGCGAGGGCTCTCTGCCCGGCCCCGGCTCGCCTCGCTCAGCCACCTGTAAGCAGGCCCCGGGCGGGCGGGACTGCGCCGGCCCAGCCGCCGCTCCGGGCGTGGGGACCGAGACCCGGGGTCTGCGGCTACGCGCTGCTCACCCTGCCTTCCGGGGGCTCCCGCTGCAACCGCCCCTACCAGTTTGTCGGCGGCTCTTCCCTCTTCCCCGGCTCCGCCGATTCTCTCTCTCACACACACCCCCTTCAGCGCGCCCGCACCCCAATGCTGCATTGCCCGCCGCGCCCTAGATCTCCCTCCTCCGCGGGGAGCCCGCGGCCCCCGAAGTTTCTCCCCACTCGTCCACCCAGCCGCCACTCCGTCCCTCCGAGGCGGAGCGACGCAACACGCTGGAAACTCACCAGACACACTTAGGCATGGCAGAAAATAGAACCCAGTTGGGAAAATTTAAAAACCGACCACCCTAGCAGAAATCAAAATGCGCCCTGCAGAGCCCCAGAGCCCGGGCTCTCGGGCCCGCGGGCGGCCTCAGGGGGCGTGCGCAGGGGAGTCGGAGAAAGAAGGGGCGCGGGGGTGGCACCCACCTCGGCCAGGGCATTGGCGAGGTACCCGCAGCCGAGGAGCAGCAGACAAGCCCAGGTCCTCATCGCGTCCCGAGGCACCGGTGGCTCGGCGGGGAGGCGAGGCCGCGGGGCGGGCGCTCCAGCCGGGCTCCTGTGGCGGCGAAATTCAGTACCATCCCTCAGGGAACGCGGCCCGGAGGAGGGTGGCGCGGAGAGCAGGGAGCCGACGGAGCGCGCCCGGCGCGAGCAGCGAGTGCGGAGAGGCAGGCAGCGCCAGAGAGGAGGAGGAGCAGGGAGTGCGCGCTCGCCGCGCCCGCCGCGCCGGGAGCCTCCTGGGCCGCCGGGTAGGGGGTGGGGACGGAAGGGGCGGAGGGCGGGGGCTGGGCCTCTTCCTTGGTGCGTTCCCGGTGCTGGCCGCCGCCGCGCTCGCTCCCCGGCGCTGGCTCTAGGAGCGACCAGGCCGGTAATTCTGCATATTTGCGGGCGTTAGCCCCGAAAGGGACCCCGGAGCGAGGCTGGAGCCGCTGCCGCCGCACCACCCATCACCTGTCTGGACGCCCGGCCAGGCCCGGCGCGGGCTCGCGCTCTCCCTGCGGGCTGCGGGCGGCCCTGCGCGCCCACCAGCGGCCCCGCGCTCGCCTCCGGCCTCCTCTCGCCGCCGCCGCCGCCGCCCGGCCGGGCACGGCGCGGCCCAGCACGGCGCGGCCCGGCGGCCTGCGTGCGCCCCTCCGCGGCGCGCCCTCGGCTCCGGCGCCGCGCTCCGCCCTCCGCCGGCCCGAGCCGGGCAGCGCCCGCGGCCGCTCCGCCTGGCAGCCGCCGCCCGCCCGGGGCCTCGCCGCGCGGGCCTGAGGGCCGAGCCGGCGCCGCCACTGCCGCCGGCAGAGGAGGAAGAGGCGGCGCGGGCAGGCCCGGCTCGCTGGAGTTATGCGGGCTCCGCGGGGCGCGCGTGTGGAGCCGGCCGGCGGCGGGGAGGGGGTTATAGCGCCGCGGCGCGCCCCTCCCCCGCCCCCTCCCCCTCGCCTCCCCCGGATTCCGGGCCCCGGACCCGCACCTCGGAAGCGTGCGGGGGCCGAACGAGCCGGACAGGGCCCCGCCGCGGCCGCAGTGAGCACACACACGCGCTCGCGCAGGGAGTAAAACCCATCAAGGCCCCGGGCCCGGCCCCGAGCACAGCCGCCGGGGCTCCGCGCGCTGCCCGGGGCTCCCCGGGCGCCCCTCCCTCGAGTTTGCCCACCCCCCAGTGCCAGCTGCAGCCCTGCAGCACCGGACGGGGAGGGGAGGAGGCGGCCGCAGAAGCGCCGCCGTCGCTGGCTCGCCTCTCCCGGGCCCCAGCGGCGGCAGAGGGCAGCGCCCAGAGCTGCTACGCCAAAAAGGGCAAAAGCGAGCCGGCCCCCGCCTCCCGCCCCCCGCCCTGGAGCTCCGGCCTCTTTGCACGGTTTGGATCCCGGGCCCCCGGCTCCCCCGCCATAAAAGGAGGGGGAGTGAGGCTCTGGTGAGAGGTGGGGCGGGTTTAGGGGCGCTTCTGGGACACTCACCTGGCGGCTGCCACGCTCCCCCGCCCGGAATCCGATGCCTGGGGTGTCTGACCGAGGAACCTCCACCCACATTCCGGGAGACGAGGGAGCCCCGATCGGAGGAAGGGGCTGCCGCGAGCCTCGTCCCCGCCCTGGGCTCCCGCACCCCCAAGTCCCCGCGCCCTCGTGGAAGGCCTGGCGGCGGTCTGAGCCAGAAACTCGAGGGCTGGAAAGGAGGAAAAGAAAAGAGCCGCTTGAGAGGAGCCCGGGAGTCTCAGCCTCCCGCGCCGGGATCCTCTGGGCGCACAGAGCGCCACCTCCGGCCGCGGCGCCGCACAGAGCGGTGCGGGGGAGCGGCAGAGGGAGGCCGAGGCCTGAACGGGGCTGGACGGCGCCCACGCCACGGAAGGGCAGCTCGCCGAGCTGGGTCCATCCCGCCTGCCTGGGCTGGTGGGACCGCACGCTGGCGACGGGTCTCTGGAGGGGCGGAGAAGCCCCGATATCAGGGCTGGAGAGGTTACAAGCCGAGTGACCCCGCAGCTAGACGAGAGGCCATTAAAGGCTAGGGACTGCCAGTGGCTGGGTGGGCTGTGGAAAGAGGACCCCGCTGGCCCGAGCCCTCCACCCCACACCCCCATCCTCCGGGTTAGGCCCCTGCCCCCGCCCAGGCTGCCCTCCCACTAAAGGCAGTAAAGGCTCAACCCTCCAGGTGTCCTTTATCCTCGGCTCCGCGGGCTTCAGCATTTCAAAGGCCGAGTCCAGTGGGCCCTTGGGGGGCCCTCAGCTTCCCCCAGATTCCGGGGAGGAGGGGTGGGCCCCTCCTGAGATTCCGAGAGGGCAGGGTCTCCCAGCGCTCAGCTCCCCCAGCGCACCTGCCTCTCTCCCCTGCTAGCCCCGCCTGCAGCCTCCCCTCACCCAAAGTGCGCTCTCGTGGCTCAGAATGTAGGAGGGCTGAGGCAGACCTCGAGAAACCTTGGTACTGTCCTTATCCACCCAAGTAGACTTTCCATCGCATTGGAGGGAGTCCACTGGATGGTTTCCGGAAGGCGGTGAAGAGTACACTGCCTGGACTCAGGCCGGACCCCTGGCGGACCCCAGAGACTTCCTGAGAGTTGACTGCATCACACCTGCTTGAGCGCTGAGTTCCCCACAGGCAGAGGGAACCCGAGGACCCACACGTCTTTGGGGCTGAAGGACTTGGTTTGATAGCGGGTGTGCGAATGAGGAAAGGTCACCTTGTACTGCAGGGGCTGGGGTGGGGGCCCTTCTGGCTCCAACCTCTGTACAGAGGCTCCCTAGTTCCGGGGTGGGGGTTCCACCAGCTTTGAGCAAGTGAGTCGCTCTGTGCCCCATCCCAGCCTGGAAATTCAGGGGTTCCCAGTTTGAATTTGGGACAGAAATGTGGATTTGGGGCAGAAGAGATCTGGGAACATGGAATGGGGGTATCTTCTACGGGAGCCCAGGCCAAAGTTAGGCAGAGAGCAGGCGAGATGGGGGAGGGGGGACAGGACGGGGGGGGGACAGGACGGGAGGCATCCTTCTAATCGCTGGCGGCTATTAAAAATTAAACCGCGGCTCGTTGTCATAGCGACCACGACAACAGCGACTGCCCAGGGTGGCACAAACTTATGCAGCCGGTGACAGCCGCTTTTGGGGGAGACTCGGGGCAGACTCACACTGGCCCACCAAGGCCTGCCCTGCCACTAAGGACAGCCAGGCCCCACCCTCCCCCCTCCTCGGAAGAAGCCGGCAGAATTAGATCCCTAGACGGTGCTTCCTAGACCTTGAATCGACTTGACCAAGAATCAACAACCAGGACAGGAACCCACGCGTGCGGGGACTCCCCAGCCCTGGCGCCTCTCTCCAAGGCCCCTTCCCCTTTCAAACCCCGGCGTCCTTATCTCTGGGGAAGGGGCTGAGTGGGGAGGCGGCTTCAGATGGAGGCTCGGCGGCGGGAGAGGGGACCCTGGGTCCCGAAGCCAGGCATGTGGGGGCCCGGGCACCTGCCCAACCCGCCTGTCTTGCGATCCTGGCCGCTCAGGTGTGGTCACGTGCTCCTTTCTGCCCAGGAATCGAGTTTCACTTCCAGCCGCTATTAGGCGGTTCACACAGTTCACTGCAAACATTTGATAAAGAGGCTAAATATACATTGGAGTCGGAGGAGGCGTGGGCGGTCTTGCAGAGCGCAAGGGCGGGGCTCCTCGGGGCATCCCCGCCCACGCTGAGAGTCCGGCTCGGACCCAGACCAATTCCCGGTTCCCGGTGCTCCCACCCCAACCCCCCCGCCCCGCCCCGCCCCGCCCCGCACACAGTTGGGATCCCAGGCCCAGGACACACGGCCCTGGCAGGCTGTGGGCGCCCCCTTGGCAGCCAAAGGCCCCTAGGCGGAAGAAGGGGGCGCTAGGGGGGAGCTCCAGGGAGGGTAAGTGCTGGTGGGAGGTGAAGGCGCACCTGGCAGCCCGGGATGTCCGGTCGCCCCCGGAGCGGGTGCTTCCGGGCTATCTCCAGAGTCCCCGGCGGCGCGCCCCATCGTGCCACGGACCCATAATTAAGGTGAGTCAGGTGCTACAAATAGGTGGAGAGAGGGACTCCGGGTGCAGCTGGGTGACTGCGCGTCTGCCCCTCGCTGGTTCCTCTGGGCACCGCCCATGACCCCCCACCCACCCACGGAGGAGCGGGAAGGGCCTGGCCGCTCCTGGAGAGGGGCCGCCTTTATTAAGGACCTGAGATCAGCCCAGGACCCTTCACCCTACAGCCCACCTCCCCGCCTGTGCAGCGCCAACCTGGGACCTGGCACCAGTTGGCACTCCGTTGTTGCTATCATCCTTTTTTTGTTTTTTGCAGTGGGAGTCATGACTAACGTCCACAGGGACACCTCGGTTTCTGAGTGGCCCCTGGGGGTGGAGAGCTGCCCCACCCCCCCTCTTACAGATGCCAGGAAGCTGGGCACTGCCTGCAGCCCCAGAGCGCAGCCCTGGGCAGTCACTCCTGGGCCAGCTCTACCAGTGCTGGGGGTGGGGGCTGTCTCAGGCCAGCTGGCCCTGCAGGTTTCAGGCGGGCACGAAGGATGATGTGGCCTCCTGGCAGTGAGGGCCTCAGGGCTGGAGCCCACCCCTGCTCGATCCCCCATCCTGAAGGGCGCTAGCTGCCTTCTGCCCCTTGACCTTAGCTTTGCTGGAGGGGTTTGTCCCTGCCCTGCCTTGAATCTGTTCTCTCATCTGAAGAGTGGGGGCCAGCAAGCTTGCTGTGCACAGCTGTCTCCCACCACCCAGCCCCCTGGCTGGGGGCGGGGGGGGGGGGCATCGCCGCGCACACACACCTGCAGGGCCTGGGACCCCAGGCTCGGGCACAGCTGCCTCCGCCTGGGTGGCCAGCTGGGCGTCCAGACCCAGGTCTCTGCCCACTGCCAAAGCAGACCTCAGAACAATTTGTCATGATGAAACACCACATTTCCCTTTATCTCTGGGCAAGGATTTCTTGGTTCAGGGCAATTAATCCAGGAGCGGCCTCAGCTGAGTGGGCAGCTCTCCTTGAAGATCAAAAGTGCCAGGCGGGTGTTAATTAAGTCATCATCTCAGCCGCCCCAGGCCCGAGTTCAGGATCAGGCCTTTCCAGTCCAGCCTCCCTATGCTCAGTGTTGGTTTTAACTCCCTATTAAATATTTTCCTGTTAAACACACAAACCACAATGAAGTTTTACATACCATATGGGCCCACAATCATTCTGTGAATATTTTGTGAATGAAGACCTCTGGGAAGGGGCACTTGTGGGCTTCAGGAATCAAGGCCAGACCTGGTCTGTCTAGGATGGGAGCCTCCTGCCACAGGAGGCCACTGGGCATTTGACACGTGGCTGGTATGTGCTGTTCGTATAAAATACACACAGCCTCCAAGACTTGGTATGAAGATAAAGAATGTAAAATTTTTCATTGGTAATTTTTACATTAGTTACCTGCTGAAATGATAACATTTTTGATATATGAATTCAATAAACTGTATTATTACAATTAATTTCACACATTTGTTTTTCCTATGTTTAATGTGGTGGCTAGAAAATTTAAAATACTGTGTGTGGCTCTAGTTATATTTCTACTGGACAAGGCTGGTCTGGGCATCCAGAGTTCGCATCTCCTCGGTGGAGCCAAGCTGGTGAGTGTGAATAGGGTGGGGGTGGGGCGGAAATCCTGCCCTGGAAAGCCCAAGAACCTGGAGACCAGAACAACCCAGGGCTTGCTCTGCCTACCAGCCGCGCTTGCCTCATCTGCCGTATGACCCTGAGCAAACTCTTCAGCATCTTGGAGCCTCAGCTCCCACCTCTGGTAACAGCCAGCCCAGGGGGCTGCGTTCAGAAGTCCTCATTCACACAACAGGTACTTCTGTGCCGGGCATGGGAGCGCAGTACTCACACGATGTCCTCGCGGAGCCTGCAGTGTCTCCAAGGAGCAGCAAACAAGTGACAAGTGTCCGCTCTTCCAGGTCAGGAAGCTGGGATGGTCAGGAAGGCCTGTTTCTAAAGGAGTCAGTGCTGAGACCAGGATGGAGCCTTCCAGGCAAAGGTCACAGCAGCCTGTGCCAAGGCCTGGAAGCAGGAACCGGCTAGGCCTGTCGAGGACCAGCAGGAGGGCATGAGCTGGGACCAGTGGGCAGTGGGCAGGTCACACAGACCTCAAGACCATGTCAGGGGTGTGGACTTGTTCTTCGGGGACAGAGCCCACTGGTGGGCTGGGGGGACAGAAAGAAAAACGGACCCCCACGGCCGCCTGCCAGCTTGCCAGGCCCCAGTGGCTAGACCTCAGCTTCAGTGTTGTCTTCAGGATTCACAGCCGAGTTGCTGCATCTTGGATGTGAATTCCAAGTTTCACGTCTGATGGTCTGACTTGAACCCAGAGCCCATCCACACCTGCTTCCCTGGGGGCTGCTGGCAGGCCCTATCCCTCTGTCCTAGCTGTAGATGGGGTGAGGGGGTCGACAGTCTCCCCTGGCCTTCAGATTTGACGGGATTCAGCCCCCAGGGGGAGGCAGGAGTCTGGGGCTCACAGGTTGTTTGGGGGAGACGCATTGCTGGCTTCCCAGGCCTCCCAGAGGAAAGATGGTAAGAACGTGTCCAGAGAGCGGCACTCATGGATGGAGAGCCTTCCCACGCGGGGAGGCCAGCACCTCCCCGCGCAGAGGCACAAGCCAGACCAGAGCCCTTGGGGTCAGCAGGGAGGCGACCTCGGCTCACGGGCAGGGGGAGGACATCAGAGTGCCCTGAAGAGGCGGGGCTGCGGGGTGAGCACCGATGCTCCCAGAACAAAGAGGCACACAGGGAAGAAGGAAGAGGAAGGTCAGACGTCAGGGTGCTGGGGTCGTCAGAACAGCGTGGAGCTCGGGACAGACGGGCCGGGACACGCAGAGCCCGGAAAACTAAAGCTACTCCAGAGGAGGAAACGAGAGACGTTGAAAGAGTCATTCACTCAGTGCCACTGGGGCAGGTTGGAGAAACTACCTGATTAAATCCTCACTTCTCCTTGCCACGAAGGATATTTCTATGAATTAAGAAATTAAGTTGTTAAGCGAACGTTTCAAAACAAACTTGACCATGTGTGTCTTGGGGAAGGCCCCCACCCTCCACCGCAGCATTCTCACCAAAGCCGTTGTCCTGAGGAGGGGAGGACACACCCAGGTTCAGAGAGACTCCCGCAGACACCTGCTCCTGACCCCTCAGGTACATCACCGCCGTGACGAGAACACGGAGAGAGCTGGAGGTCACCACAGCACCAGGTCCTGGACTGACTCCTCCGTCCAGACCAGCAAGTAGCTCGCGGGACACGCATTAGGTGACTGTATCCAGGTAAAACTCCTGGGTGTGGTGACGGTGTCACAGTGATGCGGGCGGACTCTCTTGTCCTTGGAGACTGTGGTACTGCAGGTGAAGTCAGGATGCCGAAGTTTGTTCTCACGTGGTTCGGGGAGCGGGCAGTGGAACTGACAGATGATGGACAGATGCACATGTGCGCACACACAGGAGGACGATGCATGGATCCCTGGGTGGAGACTGGGGGGAGATGATAGACGGGCGGCTGGCTGGTGGTGTGCAGCCGGGGAGGTGGACGGGCGCTGGAAACGGGTGCAGGGCACCTAGCCACTCATCAGACTCTTCTTACCACCTTTCCGAAAGGTCGAAATGTTTCAAAATGAAAGTTATGAAAAAGTGCTAATTGCTATTTTCTAGTTTTCCTGTAATTAATCAAACTTCTAGGATGCAGAGAACTTTCAGAGCTCCAGAAGACACAGGACAAATTACATTTGCTATGTGTCACATTTTCAGACTTCAAAACAGAATGTCAGATTTAGAAATTGAAGAAAAGTAAAATAATTTTAAAACCTGAACAAAGGGAATCCTTTAGTTGTGTGTTATAATCACATCCCTATGTACTTTCATCTGAACAGAGTAAGTGTATTAAACCAACTCTTTCAAACATATCTGCCAGGGTCTTTGCCCATGTTTTCTCATCAGAAAACCAGGAAAGATGCACAGAAGCGACATGGAGACACTTCAGTGCCAGCCAACACCTCAGACACAGCCCCGGGGATCTACTGTTTCTCGTGCCAGGAGGGTGCCAGGCAGGAAGGGAAGGCTGAGAGGGCTGCTTTCCCAACGGGGGCCAGTCGCGGTCAGAGCCGGCGGCCACTTGGATCAGGAGCCGTGAAAGTGGCCATGGCCCCTGACCCCGTCATCCCACGGCTGGGCACTTAGCCCACAGAAATGACCCAGATACAGAACGACCACAGACTAAACGGTCCAGGGCAGCGCAGCCTGAAATAGCAAACCCTGGAAACAACCTGAAACCCCCAGGGTGAACCGACTGTTTTCCCGACCCTCCCCTCCGGTGGGAAACGGGGGAGGATGGCTTCCTGCCCATGGAAACGCCAGCAATGTGTCCAGCACTGTCACCGCTGCTTTCTCCACTGGGTTTGGGGTGCCCTGCTTTCAAGTGTTGGCAGAGACAGGGCACCATCCATGAGGGGCAGTTGCAGGGGGAGGCTTGTCTGGCCTCTTTTTCTCTCGGTCCTGCAATGAGTTAACCTTCTTGTTGAAGAAACTCAGTCGCTTCTATTTGGAACGAGCCGCGTGGGATCAGAAACTGTAGCTCTGGGCTGGGAGCAGGCACGTTCCCACCTCCCTGGGCCTCGAGTTCGGTGAACAGAGCTTCGCCAGCTGGCCCTTCTCCTCCAGGAAGCCATCCCAGGGCCGGCCAAGCCTGGCTTCAGACTCAGCCTCTTGCTGACCCTGTGATGGGGCAAATCATGTCACAGCTCCAGGCCTGTTTCCCCATCAGGGAAAACAGGACGCCGGTACCTCGGTTCCAGGACTACTATGGAAAGAAAAGGCAAAAGTGATGGAAAGACCCTGAGAGCATCGTGGCCTCCTCCACGTGGCCATGTCGTCAGCCTGGCACGTTCCCGCCTGTCTGAGGACCAAAGACCAGTGTTGGAGGAAAGGGCAGCCTTGTGGCAGCATCGGCAGCCTGGTGGGCCAGCCTTTAGGGGAGGGACCAGGGGGATCTGGGCCAGGGGGGGCTCTGTGAATCCTCCTGGGGGCAGGTGTCCTGCCCTCTGGGGCCAAGTGAGGTCTGGGGCCCAGGACTTCCTTGTAAAAGAAGCTTCCTCACACCAGCCTGGCCCGCTGGGCACACACCAGGGGACGTGGAAGGCAGCTCTCCTGAGGCCAGGAGGCCTGGGAAGAGAGGAGGGGTCAGGAAGAGGGCGGCAGAGAAGAGGGGACAGGGGAGCAGGAGAGGAGAGAAACGGAGGAATGGCGGGGGTGAGGTGGGGTGGAGTGAGAGGCCAAGGGAGCACCCCTCCCCGTCTTCTCGCGTCTGCGGGCACAGGAGGCTCTCCCACGTCTGCCGGAGCAGGATGGCGGTGCCAGTCGCTGTCACGACGGCTTCCCCTCCGCAGGGGGCCCGTGTGCGTGCATGGGACGTGAAGATCCCACCCTTCTCGGCAGCCACACGGGGACATGGCTACACACGTCGGACCTCAATCACAGGGGGGCCCCCGAACACCTTCATGCATGAACACCCCCGTGCACAGAGGACTGGGGGGCTCAGAGGGGAAGGGTGGGTGAGGAGGCTCCCTTTGTTCTTGTCAGTCAAGTCCTGGGTCAGAGAACCAACAGGAGGCCCCCCATTCCCTGTCATCTCCCAGAGCGTGACCGCTCCCAGACAGGAAGGGCAGTCACAGCCCAGCCCCACAGTCCGGGTTTTGGATCAGAACTCCTGTGACAAGGACCCGCTCACGGTGCCCAAGGGGACGGGGGACGGCCAGGCCAGGCTGAGCGGCGTCAGGGACGGCCCGATCAGGGCCTTGTCTCCTACTTCCTCTGCAGTGGAAGGCGGCGCCCAGCAGCCCCCGCCCGCCCCCCGTGCAGCCCTGGACTTCTCAGGACTGTGTCTCACTGCCACGCCTGGGGCGCGTGTGTGGACCCAGTGCCCAGGACTCCTTGGGTCGCCCTCAGCCCCCAAGTTGATGAGACCACACGCCCCCTCCTTGCACCCAGCCTGCCTGAGACGTGCTGCCCTGCCCTGACTGGGCAGCCTCTGACCCCAGCCCCCTGGAGCACCCTGGAAGGGGGTGCTAGAATTCAGGGCTCACGCCCATGTCCCTGGGAACTCTTAGCTGCCCTTTGGAGGAGTGAGCTGAGGCCCAGTCTGTGACCGCCAGAGACAGCCTCTGCATCCAAGTTGTTTTTCTCAACAGGAGAGAGCAAAGTACGTCAGATAGTCTTATCCCTGTCCTGCTGTGACCTGCAGGCACCCCTGGGGCGAGGGAGGCCCTGCAACCTCTGGACACCTCTGCACGTCCCCATGGGGGCTCAGGGAGCAGTCACAGCATGGGCAGGACAGGGCCCGGGCCCGAGGAGCCAGTCCTGGGTTTAGAGACGTCTCTGCTCCTGCCAGTTGTGCAAACTTTAGCAAACGTTTCCTTCACTGGCCTCAAAGACAGAGTGGGCAAGACAGTGGAAGTAGATTCCTGATGTTTGTAGTAATGCCCAAGAGGTAAGTGCTCAGTGCAGAGCTGGGCATGCGTCTGAACACAGCTGGTGTTCTATGGCCGGTGACGGACAGGTTGCCCAGGGTGCTGTCTGCAGAGACGCCAAGCCTGGTAAACAGCAGGTGCTCAGTAAAGCACAGAGCGCCCCACCCCTGGCCCAGCAGCCCTGTGAAAGAAGCCCTGGGTTTGGGGACAGCGCCATCCCCTTGGGTTCCCTCTGGGCCAGGGCCACCAAGCTCGCGTTTACCTGGACAGGAGCCCCCTTCCTGCGTCCTCCAGCGGGAGACCAGGCCAGTCCTGGGACCGGTGTCCTCCCTGGAGGCCGAGTCTCAGCGTCTGCACACTCCTGAGTCTAGGGCCATTCCTGTCTCCCCTCCCTGGACGGTTTGCCATCCCCCCAGCCTTGCAGGCTCCCACACAGTCTCCACGCTGACTACCCTGCAGTGGGGTCTCCAGCCCAGAACTCCCTCCTGAACCCCAGAGCCGTTCAGGCCAGCACCTCCCCAACCAAGACGAACCCCCGGACCTACCTCTGGGTTCTGGGGACACCACCCACCCCGACCCCTACTGCTAGAACCAGGAGTCTCAGAGCCAACCATGAACTCTCTCTGACTCTCCCATGTACCTCTGAGCGGGCGGGAAACCTTGTCGACTGACTCTCTGAAACTTGACCAGTCTCCAGTCCTCACTTCCGAGCCCGCCGCAGCCCCACCCCTTCCCTTTATCCCATGCACCCCCAGACTGCACAGTCAGTGATCCTTTCAGAGGCGAATCCGCCCAGGTCACTTCTGCTCCAAAGTTACCCTAATAAACTCTGGGCTGGAGAAACCCTCCAGGAGATGCTTAAATGACGCCCACCCTCGTGCGAGATGAGAGCAGGGTCAGGCTGCGGGCGAGTCCAGCCTTGATGATGGAGACAGGGCTCTGCCAGCAGGCTCCCTCACCACCACCAGGGCCCTCCCCGGAACTACAAAGCACTTTCCCCAGCAGATAACGGGTTATAAATAAGTCTGTCCTCCCCACCAGCTCCCTCTGGCAAAGCTGATGGGTAGAGGCAGATGCAGGCCATGAGAAAGTCGCTCCTGGAGTCCAACAATGCGTTCCATCCTCAGATGTTGGGGTCCGGCCCGGCCTGGCCCTGCTCTGTCTCTGGAGGGACCCCAAGAGTCAGGACCGCCTGGGATCCAAAGGCAGCCTGACCTCCCCACCGCACACTGCTCCTCCACACCCCTCAGGGAGCCCCACACCTCCTGACCACGACCAGGCCGCTGGGCCCGACATGGCCGG